ACATGACATTAGGCAACGACCGTCCTCTTTGTGAAATCAAAATCACACTTCTGAGATCACGAATCTGTAAACCAAGATCACACCCAACCTCTGCAGGGACCCTACTCCTTGTAGGATCCAAATCCTGATTGCATAGATGACAAATCTGTAATCCAATATCCCACTCAACCTCAGCTTGAGGTTTGTGAGATCAAAATCATAAATGACTAATCTGTAATTCACAATCAGATCTGCAGCGTAACACATTAGAAATGATCAACTATGCTTGTCTTGTGTAATTGTTTGTGTGTGGTGCCGTCCCCCTTGGACAATGAGTTTTAATCGTACTAACCCCTGTTCAGTTTCATGATTTTTAATTCTGTCTTGTACGAAGTTGTTCAGGCTAGTCATACCACTCGTAAAATCATGAAATGTTTGAACTTTATTTCTCACCCACTTAGATAAACCTACAATAACAAAAACAATAATCTTATTTAGATAAACCTACAATTAAAATAACAATAATCTTATTTCTCATTCACTTCAATAAACCTACAATAAAAATAACTATCTTTATTTCTCATTCACTTAGATAGACCTACAATTTAAATAACAATCTTTATTTCTCACCCACTTAGATAGACCTATAATTTAAATAACAATCTTTATTTCTCACCCACTTAGATAGACCTATAATTTAAATAACAATCTTTATTTCTCACCCACTTAGATAGACCTATAATTTAAATAACAATCTTTATTTCTCACCCACTTAGATAGACCTATAATTTAAATAACAATCTTTATTTCTCACCCACTTAGATAGACCTACAATTTAAATAACAATCTTTATTTCTCACCCACTTAGATAGACCTACAATTTAAATAACAATCTTTATTTCTCACCCACTTAGATAGACCTACAATTTAAATAACAATCTTTATTTCTCACCCACTTAGATAGACCTATCTGTTTATTATGGGTTAGTAATTGTTTCCTTCCCTCTAGAACAAGAATTAAAATGTCCATAAAATGATCTACTTTACCTTTACAATATTTCTGTCCATTTTTAACAAATCTATCATCCACTAGAATTAAACTACCCCAATCACGTCTAAAATATACAAAACATTAATAATCTTAAAATAAAATCATGTCTAAAATATACAAAACATTAATAATCTTAACAAACAATCACGTCTAAAATATACAAAACATTAATAATCGTAACAAACAATCACATCTAAAATATACAAAACATTAATACTTAGGTTATAACAAACAATTACATCAAAAATATACAAAACATTAATAATCCTAACTTAGGTTAAAAGAAACAATATGATATACTCAGATATATACATCTGAATACCGAATTTCATCAAATTCCTCAACAATGGTTTTCTCACATTTGATTTGACATGCAAAGAATCTTTCTAAGTGTCTACTCTAGGTTGAATTCACAAGGAATGATGGTTGTTAAGTGTCTACTCTTGGTTCAATTCACAAGGAATGATGGTTGTTTAGTGTCTACTCTTGGTTCAATTCACAAGGAATGATGGTTGTTTAGTGTCTACTCTTGGTTCAATTCACAAGAAATGATGGTTGTTTAGTGTCTACTCTTGGTTCAATTCACAAGGAATGATGGTTGTTAAGTGTCTACTCTTGGTTCAATTCACAAGGAATGATGGTTGTTTAGTGTCTACTCTTGGTTCAATTCACAAGGAATGATGGTTGTTTAGTGTCTACTCTAGGTTGATTTTACATGGGATGATGGTCGTCTCTTGGTTGAATTGACATGGCCTATCAATTATTAAGTTTGAAATAGACTGTGCCTATAGCTTGTCACAGTACATTAATTGAGAAATTAAAAATAAATAATTAAAATAATTACTGACCTATGTCTGATACATCTACCAAGAGCTTGATTTAAAGCACGGAAAGCCTGAATCTCGTACCAGTCTCCACCAGACAATAAACCTTTACTGTTTTTATAACGATCATTATATTTACGTTTCAATTCCACTTGTAAATCTTTAAAATTAGGATATGGTATCCCTACCTGTAAATATGAAATAAAGTTTTAATATTAAAGTAAGGATATGGTATCCCTACCTGTAAATATAAAGTTTTAATATTAAAATTAGAATATGGTATGGTATCCCTATCTGAAAATATAAAGTTCTAATATAAAAACTAGGATATGGTATGGTATCCCTATCTATAAATATAATAAAGATTTTATTATTAAAATTAGAAAATGGTATCCCTAATTGTAAATATAATATAAAGTATTAATTTCAAAATTAGGATATGGTAAATAAAATAAAACTTCAATATTCTTTGGCGTGGAATGATTAAATTACATTATTTCACAAACTATAATAAACATCTACTTTGGTTTTAATGATAAACTTACACTTATCACAGCTCGAGCAAAATTATCTGCAAAATCTAATCCTTCGCTGACCTTCCCTCGACAAACAGCAAAAAATAATGCTCCTGTAGTTTCACAATTTCCGTCCTCATCACTGTCCTCAACTATAATATCAAAATACATTTTTAAAGATACATTCAATCAAAAAAATTACATGTATATCGTATTCACTTCACACAAGAGTGTATGCCAAGAAATTTCTTCAAGCTATTCTAGAAGGATGTAGTGCTGCTGTTAGGGAAATATTTCCCTTATAACACACCATACATTGTATGCCCATCTTCAATAGCCCTGTTGGTTCAAAAAAGTAAGACACATATCTTAAATTTCATCTAAAAGAATGAGATTTCTAATGAACAGAAAATAATTATTGATTATCAAAATTGCATAATAAACCCACAATAAATTAAATAACTCATTCATTATGCATTGTCAACCAGTGTTTTGCTGTTAGTACTTAAACATATGAAAACAATTCACACTTAATTGCATATGAATATAAATTTTTTTAAATTGTTGAGTCGGAGGTTCCTATTATCTATATTGTCCTACTTACAATCTGAACCTTCTTCTATAGCTTTATAAAAATATTTCATCAAATCTTCAAAATCATCTTTATCTTTCCCTCTCGGTTCACATACAATCTTTTTACTGTTTCTAATTTTATACCATAATCCTGTTGTCTTTACAAATATAAAATTAAAATGTATGAAGGATCAGAAACATAAATAAAGAAATAGTATTTTATTGGATGACAGCACAAACTAAATTATATTGGTTCAAACATTTACAAGACCTACTAAATACAATAATACATTTATACACATAAATAAAATCAAATATCACAATGTAACTGAGAAAACAGTGTCCTGCCCAATCAAGATCCATATGATGATCAACTTTAACGTTTCAGTTCAATATCAATAACTTAACAAGGCCGTAAGAAAAAGATTTGAATAAAAAGGGAAATGATTCAGAAATTATCCCAGGTCTATTTCGGGTCAGTAAAACGGACCCTTTTCAAAGTAAAAAATAAGTGAAACTAGGTAATTTCAGGACTATCATATAGTTCAATTTTATTTCAATAATTTGCTCGCACAGAAGGGATCTTTAGAAGTGAGTGGACACAGAAAAAATCCACAAGGTTGGACAGGTGACCCTACCCCTTGTCACATACCAGCAGTGAATTGAAACCACGCCAGTTGACTCAATGACAGACTTTATGATTCAACATACACACGTTAAACGATTGGGCCACACACCCCTCGTGGCCACGACAGAAACTTTTAATACCCACCTTCCATCTTTGTGTAAGCTTTTCTAGAACTTTATATGATGGAAGAAAACACAATACACCATGTGGTACTGTCTGAAATAATATAAATAAATATATTAAAAGAGAAATGATGGATTAAAATCTATGCAAAACACAAAAGATAATTTAACCATTTATTATGTAAACATCCTGGGTATTAAACAAAAATAATTTATATGTTCACCATGTTGAGCATCGAAAACAGACAACTGGTTTTACAGAAATTCAATCCTAGTAAATTTACAGGCAGTAACACACCTGTAATAGGAAGTTGAACTGTGTACAAACTTATAACATGTTTTTACCTGACAAACTTTTAAAACAAGTTGTCCAAGTTCATCTTGAAAGTTGAAAGTTTCTAGATTTCTGTAAACAGCTTGTAATGATGTACCTGTTGGTCCTTGTCCTACAGCTCCTACCCAGACCTATAATATACATTATATTATAATACAGCCCCTACCCAGACCTATAATATACAGTATATTATAATACAGCCCCTACCCAGACCTACAAGAAACATTATATTATAATACAGCCCCTACCCAGACCTATAATATACAGTATATTATAATACAGCCCCTACCCAGCCCTACAATATACAATATATTATAATACAGCCCCTGCCCAGACCTATAATATACATTATATTATAATACAGCCCCTACCCAGACCTATAATATACATTATATTATAATACAGCCCCTACCCAGACCTATAATATACATTATATTATAATACAGCTCCTACCCAGACCTATAATATACAGTATATTATAATACAACCCCTACCCAGACCTACAGTATACAGTATATTATAATACAGCTCCTACCCAGACCTATAATATACATTATATTATAATACAGCCCCATCCCAGACCTATAATATACATTATATTATAATACAGCCCCTACCCAGACCTATAATATACATTATATTATAATACAGCCCCTACCCAGACCTATAATATACATTATATTATAATACAGCTCCTACCCAGACCTATAATATACATTACATGTATACTATAATACAGCTCCTACCCAGACCTTTAATATACATTATACTATAATACAGCTCCTACCCAGACCTTTAATATACAGTATACTATAATACAGCCCCTACCCAGACCTACAACATACATTATATTATAATACAGCTCCTACCCAGACCTATAATATACATTATACTATAATACAGCTCCTACCCAGACCTTTAATATACAGTATACTATAATACAGCCCCTACCCAGACCTTTAATATACAGTATACTATAATACAGCCCCTACCCAGACCTTTAATATACTAAAATAAAATGGTTCTCAAGTTCACATTCCTCCCAACAATTACTTAATTGCAATCAAATGAAAAAATAAAGAAATTTTTATGTCAATGGATCATATTTCGATTCGCAAGCTTTTCAAAAATTAAAAACTGAATAGTCCCAAACATGTATGTGTTTTCGCCATCAAGAAGTCGGTCTAATGCACAGAGAAAACGTGTACGCGGAAAACAGGCTTTATAGTTGTGTATATTGGAATTACATTTGATTACATTGTCCTGGCTAAAATCCTGCCCTTAAAATTTGACTTCCTCCCCTAGCAGTCAAGTTTGAGAATCATTGACCTAATTAAATAAAATCACACACAAGGCATTCTATTCCAAGATCAATGCCTCAACTATCAAAGGCTACGAAAATAAAATCAAACCTGATTATCTTTGATGACGTGACTGGCTTCTAGTTGAATAGGAAACGGTAGACCAAGTTCTGATTGAAACGATGTCATAGGTGATAGAGTTCCGCTACTTAACACAATACAACGACAATCACTTAAACTAGAGAACGCCTGTAATACAAAATCAATTTAATCAGCATTTTGTTTATTAAACAATCAAACCTTGAGTATTGAATTAAATGACAAGTCTGAAGTTTCATAGTTGTTGCAGAAATGAAATGTAATGGGGTTTAACGTCCTACTGTTTTTCTCCAATTGGGCTAATGAAGACCATACAGTGTGCTATGAAGGAAAGTCTGTCCCGACATGGGCGCTGCGGCCTCCTTTTATATCGAATTCCAGCTGCCAAGGGATCGTGCTGAAAGGAAGGATCTTATTTCTTTGCCAGGCTTTCTGTCCTGCACAATGGTACCTATCTCTGGAAAGAAACCATAAGTACTTTCTCGATCAACCCCAGGATCGAACCTTGTATCTCCTGGTTGAGTCAGCACCATTCGAAGTCGGTCAATCACTGCTAAATTGTCCAAAGAACAAGCATGTCAATTTTCATGTAGAGCCTAAGATTTTTTTTTTGAAGAACAGTACCAAAAGCAAGAATATTAGGAAGTGTATGGGAACCAGTTCTGGTTTCAAAGATTTGGACCAGGACTGATCCACTCTATTTAAAAATGGAATGGCAAGCTTAAATATGGGTTCCCAGAAAAGTATTTATCGGGTGGTTATTTCCAATAAAAGTATGGTCATTTTGGTATATATGGAAAGTAGAGATATCCAATTTTACTAGAAAAATACTGGATTTCCCGAAAAACACTCATGGAACGTATACAGGACAAAAATGTAAGGGTTTCCCTAATCAACAGCCTGACGATTAGGAATTTCTGCACGCGTGATGTCAAAGGTCACACGCGAACATTGAGCGCTTGATGAACAAGTTGATAAACTACATTTTCTGAGATAAAAATGACGGAAAAACACGCGGGTAGTAGATAATCCGAGAATTTAATTAGGATTCGATATTTGTAATAAATAGTAAGCGATTAAAGATAACATCGTCTTATGTATGCAATGAATTCTCCTTTGACTTCTAAGAGAGGTAAGTCACGTGATGTTAACATGACCTGGTTTGATCAAATTTTTATAGCAGGACATTCCTTCACAATTGCAATGTTTGTGAAGGATTTGAAGCAAAATTATGACAAATTAATTAGTTTGATTATGTTTTTAGTCCATATATACGATTAAATCACTCAGTTTGAACGCGGGAACCCATCTTTAACATCCCATTAACACAGTACTTTGATTACTGTGAAATGCCCTTGATCAAGTGTTATAAAAGAACTATATACTTACAACAGCTGGACTCATACACCAGAAATTAAGTGTATATGTAACAACTGGTACTCTATCTATAAAATATAAAGAGTTGTATATACAAGTTGTATTCATTACACTCATCACATTAGAAAACTCAACTGAAAGATCCAGAAAAGAATTCAATCTGGTCAACACCCCCACCTCTCCCGAATACCACGAGACCCTTAAAAAAAAGTACATTACAAAGAGTTAAAGTACTTACGTCCTCGTCTTTGTTTAGGGTTCAACCACTTGCCGTTCTACAAATACAGAATAAAGAAGATGTCAAATAATAAGTGTTTTATATAAATTAATGATTATCTCTAAAGTGACCCCCCAAATTGGTGACTCCTTATTTAGAATTAGTGAATATTCTATAGAGTCGAGCAGTGAATGTTGTAAAACATGGATATTAATATGGTACATGCACATTAATTCATAAGGTCTGTCAATGAGTGAAGTAGCGTTGTTTCAATTCCTGCTTGTACGTGATAAGGAGTTGGGCCGTCTATCAAACCTCATGGGTTTTCTCGGGTACTCCGGCAAAGAATAATGATATGAGTTAGCTTTTTTCAAGACCCTAAAGAACTATCGTTCAATTGCTTTGGCCTAAAAACTAAAATCTTTCAAAGACAGATAAAAACAGACAAAATTTTGACATGTTTTTATAAATACTTATTAAGAGATAAATTTAAAGACTTACTGTAGCTATGTTAGAATATGTTGTTGATTTTAACAAAGAAACCCTGAAAATATTACCAAAACTCTATTAATATAATGAAAACATATAGGAAATAAGTGTAGTTTAATGCTCGAGTGAGAGACATTAAGATATATACTGATATTGCCTGAGTACTTTATCTATATATTACGCAATGTCTTGCACTAGATCATTAAACAACTTAAAATTAGGGCTGGGTAAAATATCGATATAAATCGATTGGACGGCCCAGAAAAGTACTATCGATAGCGGTGGGTTACTATCGATTATCGCTCTTCGTCTATTTTTCTTGCGTCTGAAATGTCAATGTTTTCTTTCAGTTAATCATAATACACCGCTCACTTTAATTACTATCAAGTATCAATGTAACACATAACAAAATTGTGACTGCTTATTGAACAGCCGTTTTCATAAATTCACTCTCATTGAAACGTTATTTTAGTTTGGAAGAAATTATTGTTGAATATCGCTAAATCGGAGATACCCGGATGTGTAAATAAAGTTAAAGTTATTTCCCTTTGCAAGCTTCAGAATTCGTCTGCCATATTGATATTTTCGCGCGCACGTACGCAATGTTTTGAATCGGAACAAGTTCATTTTGGTCCCTTAACATAATTATTTACGATATTTCTTCATTCGGAACCACGGCTGCATTATTTTAATAATAAACAATATCAATTTACGTATATATACGTGATATAACAAGTTTTATTAATGTTCTCCAAATAAATCTCCTTAGACAGGAGCAAACGATCTTTCGCAACTTCGTATGGTTTTGAACTTTGAACTTACACTGTATCCAGTCTTGATGACGACTGTGAAAATAAGTTTGTTTTCGATACTATCGATTATCGACCGACATTTCATTGCCGATTATCGATAGTAAAAATCACTATCGATACCCAGCCCTACTTAAAATACAGACACTCGCACATGCTTTGCAATGAAATACATCACACGGGTTCAATATTTCAACTAGTATACCATTATTTGAAATAATGGTATGCCAACATCAAAGGATGACGTCACATCTGTATTTTAAATAATCTTATTATTATCATACACACTGTATTGATTAAATTATTTATTATTATTTATACAAATGTTATTATTATTAATACAAATGTTATTATTATTAATACAAATGTTATTATTATTAATACAAATGTTATTATTAATACAAATGTTATTTTTATTAATACATAAGTTATTATTTTTACAAAAGTTAACCCTTTGCCTTTAGCTCCTGTTTCCTACTGATAATTCAACTGGCGGGGTGTTGAACATGACAAGGAGTAGGGTCGCCTGTCCAACCTCCGGTTTCCTCCCACTGCTAAAGACCCCTAGTCCCAAAATTACCTAGTTTGTGTTGAGTGGACGTTAAACTCTCTCTCCTACTGATAACACTCACTTCCTTGATCAAATATGAGAGAAGTGACCTTTATTAAATTGAATTTTGTAGCTCAGTTTTAAAAACTGACCAAACTACTGCTCCTTAGACCTCCTCAGAACACCCATCTTCAACAGATGGCTTGAACTCTGTACATCCTCTTATCAAGCCCTTCATGTAATACACTGCATATATCGGTACTAATTTCGATTTGCTGCTGACCCAGCTGGAGGTCTATCAGATTCCTCGATCATCGCGAATTTCAAGCTTTCCAGCTAAAATGTCTACCTGTGATAATCGAATTGCAAAGTTTAAGTGCGTTCAATGTCAAGGTTTCTGTCGTGATTACAGTGTGTTTGTGTCACAACCTCTGATTGGACGCTATTGTTCACTTGTCTGCATTAAAGGGAGATAACGTAGCTATAAGTTTGGGAATTGAGTCAAGATCTTGTAAAACTCATGTTGCTTCGGGAACATGCAGAACACCTAGCATATACGGTCTTTAATTGGTGTACCCTTGGCGTTGTGAGGTGATAGTGTGAGCTGTATTTTCAGACATTACAATACAGATGCCAAACGGTCAACATAAAACAAAGAACTGAAATCGATCTGAATATAGTACCTGTAATCCTCTACAAATTTCATGTCATTCTGGTACATGTTCTTACATACTAGAAATATCTGTTCTATACATGACATAGCTGAGTTGGGTAACTTCCCATCATGTCCCATTCTTTGTTTCATTTCATCATCCACTGGTTCAGAAACTCTCGCTAAAGCACTCTATAATAAATAAACAACTCCATAATATAACTGATCAAATTCAAAATCAAAACGTACCCATATCTAGGGTAGCTAAAAAGGTCTATCTGTTAATATTAATTTACAATAGAGAAAACTTAAACATACATTATTCAAGAGCTAAATTACAAAATTACAAAATACACAATGCAATTAACAGGGGGTTTTTTTCTGACACGCATGGGTTGTCGGGTTTGGTAACTTGCAAACCAACCGCAAGAAACATGGTGAAAATTTTGTATGTGTGTGGGACCAAAAGCCTCTACAGCAAGTCTGCTATCTTCTACGCTGCCAAACACACGCAAGTGACATGTAAGTTTCATACACGGGTTTAATAAAATTTCCTCCATAGACTACCCCTAGTAGCACATATGGCGGGATGTGAGCTAGCCTTTAGAACAGATTTTCAGACAGAATTAGGATGTGAGATCCTAGACAGGCCTTGGTAGGTCAAAGTAAACAAAATAGAACTCACAATCAATTCTGGAAAGTCTTTTGGTCCCATGTCGATTGACTCTAGCTGAGCTACAATATCAAAACCAGACCAGATTTTAGACGATTGTTCAAAATCTTTCTGTTCCAAGTTTAACGAATTCCTGTTGATGAAATCTATCAGTGACACTGCCTAAAACAAAACAAAAATTTGAACACATCATTTACAATCAATCAGTCAGACAATCAATTACAATGATTATTATTATTAAAGTCTGTAAGCATGATTTATGCAATATAGGAAGCTCTTACAAACTTGGGGATCAAGGTGGCTAAGTGGGTAAGTCACTGGCTTGCTAGCCTGGAGGTCGGGTATTCGATCCCTGTATTGGCCGAGAGAGTTCATCCAGATTTTCCGGCATGATTCCCCCTTATCAGTGATGCAGGACGGGGGGGCCTGACAAGGACAGTTGTCTAGTCATTCAGATGGGACGAAAAACCAAGGTCCTGTGTACCCATTGGCGTGCACATCAAAGATCCCATGACAGTTGAAATTTGATATAAGAGTAGGCCATAGTGCCGCTGTCCGGGAAAAATTTCCCTCATAGCACACTGTATGGCATATGCCCGTTTTTATTAGCCCAGTTCGGAGCAGAACAGTAGGATGTTAAACCCCATTTCATTTCATTTCTTACAAACTACAGTGTTGTGAAAGTTGAATTTCTAATGATTCAAGACAAAATGCAATTCACGAACCATTACTTTAATATTATGAACACTTATACAGCATGTTATCCACCAATGATCTATGGAGCTTCACCAAAAAAACAGGAGATCTCATATAAAGACCACAATTGTCCATAAAAATGCAGTTAAGGCAGGACACTACCTTACAAAACACTCTGTATAGATTGATCTGTCAAATTTTGATATCAGCTAAAATTGCCCAAAATAATTAAAATTTGTTGATTTTTCAAGTCGTGTCCAGCCTTTATATTATATAGTGTTAAATATTTAGTCATTTGTATAGGTAAATCAAATTTTTAACTTTTAACTTGCTTTTTTCCGTACTCAATTTTTCACCCATATCAGGTCTTAGAAAATCAAATTCTCAAAATCTATGAGAGATAATGGTCTCATCTTTGGAATACGATTAGTGCTATAGCTACTGTTTGCAATAAGGTGATTTTCAAAGTGTTTGTTATACATTTGGACATTTTATAGTACAAAATCCTTTTAGTGGTGTGTTCGGCCACACCCACTTGTTTTATGTGGGATGCATAATGTTCTTTATTAACATTCAAATAGTAAAATTTATGCCTTATTGCACTCTTTAATGCCTATATATGTTATTCCAAATCACAAATAGTTTGTTTCAATAAAATTGTTGAAGATTTTGATTTCCTAACATAGCCACCGTGAATATATAAAAAAATCCAAAATGGCCACCATTTCCATGACAACAAATAAACATTTTGCGCTCAAATTATCAAATCTGATTTGGGACATCATATACTAATATTACACTAAATGGCAAGTTTCTGTTATCAATGTAAAATTCTTAGGTAGTGTCCTGCCTTAAAACAAATTTTTCCCCTACTATTGTTTCAGATGTAACATTAATGCCTACTACTGTTAACAAAATTTACTTACCATATTCTTTAATTTCAAATGGTCACCAACTTTAACATTTAATTCAACTGAAAAAACAAATCAACAATTTATTGTAATAAATCAATAACACACACACACAAACTAGGCCATTTCGGGACTAACATATGGTTCAATTTTATTTCAATAATTCGCTAGTGTGTTGGGGTCTTTAGCAGTGGGAGGAAACCAGAGTGCCTTGAGAAAACCACAACGTTGTACAGGTGACCCTACTCCTTGTCACGTACAAGCGGGGAATCGAAAACCACACCACTTGAATCAATGACAGACCTTGTGATTTCATGTGCACGTGTTAACCATTCGGCCACCCAACCCCCCTGACTAGACGGAAACACTACTGTCTGTGCAAAATTTCCCTTATAGCACACCACATGGCCTATGCCAATCTTCATTAGTCCGGTTCGTCCAGATATTAGTAGGACATTAAACCCCATTTTATTTCTTTGCGCTGCTTACATGATTGCCACCTTTTGAGGGATTGAGCTAATTAAATCATCTCTTTAAAGATACATTAGTTAAGAGTTTAATAAAGAGTTGGCCATTCTTGCTATAATAATTCAAAAAATAGATGATCAAAAAAGTAAATATTAAAAATTTCAGTCAAATTACTTTATTCTGAACGCAGTTGTCACTGTTGGAAGTTTGGACTAGAAATAGGCATCAAATGTGTCCGCACCGTCTACGAGAATTGCCGATCGTTTGACTGACAGACAATAACTCCACCCACATATCCTTGATTATCAAGTAACATTCTCAATGACTATGGTACCCTCGCTTGGCAGGCCTTTCATTGGAAATTTCCGGCAGTGACGTCAGTGACTAAAGGTAAACGTTAGCTTGGTTGGCCATTTCTTGATTTAATTTTAAATGGACGACTGTCTAAATCCATGATCGTTTGATTGACAGACAATAACTCCACCCACATATCCTTGATTATCAAGTAACATTCTCAATGACTATGGTACCCTCGCTTGGCAGGCCTTTCATTGGAAATTTCCGGCAGTGACGTCAGTGACTAAAGGTAAACGTTAGCTTAGTTGGCCATTTCTTGATTTAATTTTAAATGGACGACTGTCTAAATCCATGTTGTATCCAAGCCATCCGAAGGTCTATAGAGTGGATTTTGAGCTTGTCATGTAAATAAAGGTCTAATTAATAATTTCTATAACATCTGAAGCTTAAATAAAGACATAACAGAAAAGGCAGATTTAGCTCTTGCATAATGTATGTTAAAGGCCTAAAGAAAGACCTGCAATAGGCAGATTTAGCTCTTGCATAATGTATGTTTAATCCAAGTGAATCCTTACCAAGTGTATCTATGTCCCGAATCATCTTTTCCAGAGTTTCTAAATGAACAGTTTGACTGGCAGCTTCTCGAGACGAATCTTCTATATTGTGGGCCTCATCTAAAATCATTATCTGGTCTTTTAAATTCAGCTCCATCTATCAACATTAAATAAACAAAACTTTTAAACCAAGTTAAATTTATATGTTAAATATTTTTATTCCAATATTTGATCTAAAAAGTTCATAAATATATGCAAAATTGTTTACAATATATTGTAATCATGTACTGCACTAGTTTAATATATTGTGATATGTTATTAGATAATTTGCAGCCATTCCTGTAATGTCAATAATGACATATTATCATTGAGTGTGATCTTTTAAGAGATATAGTGCCCATAGCACGTTCTAAGTTGCAAATCAATGTTGGATCTCAGCAGAATATAACTGATAAGGATATTTATGCTTGAACACAAATGTGTACAGAGTTTGGGCTCCTTTAATCTAATAACTAAACTACTTAGCAGTCTTTTTAAATTGAAAAGAAAAATGACACACAAAAAACAGATGAACCCATTTACTGAGCATATAATTACTTACACTGTCTCGTATAAGATAGTTATATATATAATTACTTACACTGTCTCGTATAAGAGGATCAATAAGATAGTTATATGGACAGATGATCAACTCTGATTGCGCTTTCAATCCACGGCTTAAAAAATAAGGACATGCCTGAAAAAAGATAAAATATTCAAGAAATTTATTACTTGATCGAACTGATCAAAATACAGATCCAAACTGCATTGGCCGGGAAAGTTCATTGGGATTTTCCGGCGTGGTTTCTCCTTGTCAGTGGTGCAGAACGGAGGGCCTGACAAGGACAACTGTCTTGTCATTTGGATGAGACAAAAAATCGGGATCCAATATTGGTGTGCATGTAAAAGATTCTTTGGCGGTTGGAATTCGATATAATAGTAGGCCGTAGTGCCACTGATCAGGCAAAATTTCCCTTAAAGCACACTGTATGGCGTATGCCCGTCTTCATTAGCCCAGTTGGAGCAGAACAGTAGGACATTAAACCCCATGTTACTTCCCGGTCCAAGCTACCCCTATACAACAAATGTCAGCCTCGGGACAGCCCTAGTGTAGCTGCTTAAAATGAACAGATAGACAAACCAATGACAGTCACAAATTTTAGTATAGATTTTCCATTACAGTTATCACTGTAATCTGGGTATCATTTAATCTTGCGCATTTAGCACTAATTTCTTTCACGTTCATTCAATATCAAATCTTTGTTTAATTTCTCGATCATTGTTAAAATACAAACAACCCAATTGACTATTGATGTATAATGATTAATTTTTGAACAGTGGTCAGGAAATTAAATACTTGAAAATTGGACACTCATTATCAAAATTAATCATTCAGCTTTAAACTGGACACAAGTACAAATTAGATGATTTTTGGTGATTTTAAATGATTTTTACAAGTTTTTAAACGGAGATTTGATATTGAAAGAAATTAGTGTTAAATACACAAGACTGAATGATATCCAGGTTACAGTGTATATACCTACAGTAAAAGTAGATTTGACCATTTCAATAATGTCCCTTACCGTAGCAGTTTTACACAATCCAACCAGATCTTCTAAATCCCAGGCGGAGTCTAATCCCATTGTTTTTATTGTTCTCTGTGATTCCATTCGTTTGGTTCTATCATAATTTCTGCAACCAGGACCCTGATAAACATAATAAAATTTAATAATATTCAGTCAAAATAGACAGAAATCCTTTAACACGTGGGGTCTAAAATGTTGCCGTTGCCACAACAGCGCATTAATGGTCAGAATAAATCGACATCAATAATAATAATGAATTTATATAGCGCCTCTCATCTAGAACTGTTCTACTCCATGGCACTGGCCTTTAGTATTGACAATTAAATAAGCGAGTCTTCAGGCATGATTTAAAGGACTCTGATGTTCTGGTTTCCTTTAAAGTTTGGGGTAGTCTTTTGATGTGAAGCGAGTTGTTCTTTCTCCAATTTTGATCAGTAGATGATGCACTTGTAAGTGTGGAGGATTATTATGCATCTTTAATGGTCACAAGGATCATTAACCCTTTAGTAATTGAACCATTAGAAACTACTGCCCCCCCCTCCCCCACTTAAAAATATACAAGTTCTGTTGTTGACGGGCGGTTTCTTAAATGAGCTACAATGGTAAAAGTGTCATTTCTCAGAAATCTCTATATAGAAAGTCTGCCTACCTTCAATAGTTCTGCACATCCTTCATTCTTATTGGACGATCTTGATACAGCTGGATGAATACATGTATATTCTCTACTTCCTAATATGGTCATTCTGAAATACAACATTTTAGTAATATACACCTATTTACACGGGGGGAGGGAGAGACCGCGAGTGGTTATCGCGTGTCTGTTGCATCACTAGGTATGTCATTGAGTCAAGAGGCAAGGTTTCGATTCCCTGCTATTACGTGAAAAGGAGTAACTGACATCAACATAAGCTGTTATTGTATTAAACATGTATCCTACCTGACATCATGATAAGCTGTTTTCTTTAATTCTCTAACAATCTGTGAAACTTGTTTATGTGTTCTTGTACCAAAATAAATCTTAGGTACTCTGAAATATCAATAAATCATTTTGTAACTAACACAGTTATATGGATATGTGACTTCTAGATATATTCAAGTATGTGTTATGAAATGTGGTATATGAATAAATATAAAGATCAGTGTATATCCAAATAACATGTTATTCATAATATTTTTGAGGCATTTAATAGCTGGATAGAGTAATAAACTAACAGATTGAAGGGTAAATTTGTGATGCAGAAACAATATTCTCATCATACCAATAACAAGTCCCTTGTCATGTACGTTTTTTCGGATATTTTGTATCGTTGCATTAGATTGATAACTTCGAGCGAATACTCGTCAAACCTTGCCCAAATATATTAGTGGCTGTTTGTTGTGACCATGTTACAAAACAGAAGATTTCCGTACTTATAACCCCACGTAAAAACAGTAATCTTCTTATTTAGCTATGAAAGTGTTAATAAGGTACGTCAATCTAAAATCCTTTCCCAAATATGCAGATATTTGAAATTGGTATTTACCTGGTTCTTGGGGCTGTATTTTTCCAACAGCAACCACAATCATTGGCCTCTGTCACTGTTTGCTCTTGAACAGCGTCCCCACAACACGTCGTAGAGTTACCTCCCTGTTTAACTACTGTAGAGTTATCTCCCTGTTTAACTGGTGTGTAATCATCTTCGTAACTAATAGATACATGTTTACGTAGTTTTTTAAGGTCCTAAAAAAGAGTAACTCAATTAACCATACATTATGTAAGAGCTAAATCTGCCTATTGCAGGTCTTTCTTTAGACCTGAAATGTTATCCAAATTATTATTTAGACATTAATTAACTTATCCAGACCATAATTAACTCTTGATGTCAACGCTAGCCTGCGATATTTACTGGATTAGGATCCCATTTGCTGCTTAACTTTCATTCATAATTTAATCATGAAATGGATAAACGAGACTATGTTTTTTATCGTACCGACTTTAGTAATGATGATCGAGGCTAGGCCGAAAATCCAATCTCTAAAATCATGATTCAGAGTGGATCAATTTGACTGAAATCTTCATCAAATTCCCTTTACATTATCTAGTTTTTAACTTTTATAGTGAGAACTGCCAGCTCTTTATCTAATCTATAATATTAATATGTTGGGATTGATTACGTGGGATGTTGGTAATTTTCTGTCTCTCCATGGACAGTGGTGCAGGTTGGAGGGCTTTGCACTGAACAGCATCCAGTCGTTTATATGGGACAAAAAAATAAGGCTCTAAAAGAGCCCTTGACAGTTTGAATTCCAATTAAGAGTAGGCAGTAGTGCTGTTGCTCGACAAAAAATTTCCCTAATAGCTACACTGCATGGCTTATAGCCGTCTTTATTAGTCCAGTTGGTGCAGAAAAGAAGTATGTTGAACCCCCATTTCATTTATTTCTTCAAAAGTGACAAATACAACGGAGCAATAATTTGTATCAAATATTCAAAAGAAAGAATAAGTATATCTGATGACATACACAATGTCCATCAATACTTAAACAAGACACTCAGACGATAATTTCATAAACAAATTCTATTGCATGTGCTTAATCTATTATAACTAAAATTAGACAATGATTAAATTACTTTTGTTTTCAGCATACCTAATTTAGTCAATAAACAGTTACCTTGTCTTGGACAAAATAATTTTAGACAATCACATTGAATAAAGCTTACATTAAAGTAAACCAAGAATTCATTATGGAAGTAGCTTGATCTTGATTTAGTGTAGATCAAATATGTTACAAGGACTACAAGGACTAGATTTATAGATTAAACCTAGAGTATAATGTTTACCATGTGTATATAAGGAGTCCTATAACTTGTATACAAGGACTAGATTTAGATATTAAACCTAGAATATAATGTTTACCATGTGTATATAAGGAGTCCTATAACTTGTATACAAGGACTAGATTTAGATATTAAACCTAGAATATAATGTTTACCATGTGTATATAAGGAGTCCTATAACTTGTATACAAGGACTAGATTTAGAGACTAGAATGTTTACCTTGTGTAGAGTAGGAGTCCTATAACTTGTATTATTATCTTTAAAATCATCATCTTCATCACCATCATCTTTATCTTTATAAATACAAAATAATATGTCAATAAGAAAAAGAGAGAGAGAAATGGGATTTAACGTCCACTCAACACAAACTAGGTCATTTTGGAACTAACACATAGTTCAATTTTATTTCCATAATTTGTTTGCGTGTAGGGGTATTTAGCAGTGGGAGAAAACCAGAAGAGAGAGGAGAGAACTAACACATGGTTCAATTTTATTTCAATAATTCACTTGCGCATAGGGGTCTTTAGCAGTGGAAGAAAACTGGAGGACCCAGAGAAAACCCATAAGGTTGGACAGGCGACCCTACTCCTTGTCATGTACATCCCGAGAATAGAAACCACACTAGTTAACTCAATGACAGACCTTATGATACAACGCGTACGTGCTAATCATTCGACCAACCAACCCCCCTCAAAATAAAAAAAAGAATTATACTTCAGAGCACAACTTACTAAGAATACCAAGTAATTGGTAACCCCCCCCCCCCCCCACCTTCCCCCCATTAAAAAAAAACACATGCTACAAAGTCGTCTGTTCTAGCTCTAAAATCATTGGCAACAACTCCTACAGGGCAATTTTCCAAAAATGATTTGCGTTTGAAATTTCAGACACAAAAAACGATTTGCGTTTGAAATTTCAGACACAAAAAATCGCTGGGGTTTGAAATTTTAGATCTGACAGGGAAACATACCAATGTTTACTTTATCTGTAGGGGGAGTAAATGGAACAGCTTCATGAACAGGTGGTGAAGGTTTCATTGGTTTAGGTAATTCTTGATGACACTGACAACAACAACTTTCACCTGTTACAAAAGAATAACAAAAGGTTTTTAGATATGTGAGGTTGTATCTGGTGTTCTAGAAAGAGTAAGCATAATCTACAGAAAAAATACAGGTTGTTATAAGACCAGAACTAGTGTGCCGCAAGATTTTCCTTAGTCTGTCATGAAATTTTGAACGACACACTAAGAAAATGTGAAAAACCATGTGATCCCAATTGAGTATTCACTGTTGTTCGTACATGCTGTGTTTTTCTTTATTCAGTTTGAGCAATTCTATGTGTCTATGACGAGTCTCTGTCTACGGTTGTATGCCGTCTGACTTAACCATGTTTTTATTTTGCAAAATTCAGATATTTTTCATATATATTTAGCCAGGTGTGCCGCTATTTTTTCATGCGTTCCAGCTCCACTGTTATAGACAATGGTTTATCATCATGTTTAAATACAATAATTTAATTCCTGATATTCTTGTAGAAAACAGACAACATTTGTACCATTACATGTAATAAATCTTCTTCTTAATGACTTATATATAACATGAATACTATATCTAAATGGCAAGAGAGAGAGAGCAAGAGAGAGAGAGAGAGAGAGAGAGCAAGAGAGAGAGAGAGCAAGAGAGAGCAAGAGAGAGAGAGAGAGCAAGAGAGAGAGAGAGAGAGAGAGAGAGAGCAAGGGAGAGAGAGAGACTAACATGGTATATCTTTATTGCAATTATTCCATTACACACATGGGTGTTTTGTAATGGGAGGAAACTATTGGAGACCCACAAAGTTACACAGACCAGCCTAGCCTATTCATTTTCAAGTACAAGCCTAGGATCCTAGCTTCCAACTCGACTCAATGACAGACTTTATGATCTAATACTCAATGACAGACTTTACGATCTACTCAATGACAAGCTGTATGACCTAAGGCACAAAACAAGGTCCCCAAAATGACAAGAAATACAAGCATTTCAAGACAATGCGACACCAGGGCAGTCAATATACCAATGTTTACTTACGTGTTAAATTATCTAACGCATCTTGTTCATCTTCCTTTTCTTTCTTTGCTGAAAAGAACAACACAATCCATGTATGTCTTAATTATCAGCTATCAGAATTCTTCCATGGTGAATGGTAAAGGAATTGAAACAATAATTAACTCAAGGTCAAAAACATATCTTATTTCAAGTCGAGGACGTTTTCAGTTTTAGACTGTCCTTCGATGTATAAAAAAATTTTCAGACGCACTTGCCCTTTTTCTAATCTGTTTCTATTGATGAAAAAACAATCCATGCAAAAATGATATTTAGTTACATGTACGAGGGCCTCATCCATTTTCTAATCTGTTCCTATTCTTAAAAAAAAAAAAATTCTTGCAAAAAATTAGACAGATTGGTTGATATTTAGTGGGTTCACCACAGCCTGCAAAATATCAGGCAGTAACTTGTGCAAAATTTGAGAGTAAGTACTGCAAGTCCGTTTATTGAGCATGTATAGAAAACACATTGAATCCGTCAAATTGATGGCATTGTTGAAGATTGTAAACAATTATATTTACCAATTTGTTCTGCTTGCCATCCGAGCGCAGAACACAACATGGCCAGACTTTTACCACTTCCTGTTGGACTCTCTAATAAACAGTTCTGTCCCCTTTCTATACCTTTTATAATCTGTAATATTATAATTACCAGGATAAGAACCAATAACATAAGAAAGATTGTACCAAGACTTCTCTATAGCTACAAATTCCGTTAAAATTTGGTGAATTTGATTCCACAATTGTCAGGAACACACCAAAATTTACAAATAACAAAACAATGTCCAGTAAGGATTCTACATGTAGTGCATTTTACAAGTACAACCCAAAATGTTGAGCAGGCAATTGAATAAATTGATATCTTTCATGTAATTAAAATATTAGTAAAACCTAAAAAAATATATACCAAGTATATGTACAAACAGATCTATAATTATATTGTATAGGTTAAACGGCAAATAGAAGTGTTATTTGTACTCTGAAGTATACTCTGTACTGTACAATGTACATCACTATACTTTTTATAGCAAGCCTGGAGAAAAGGTATTTGCCAAAGACATTATCAGCAGGCATACATTTACAACCTGCCAACGCACACAACTCATTTGGTCCCTGTTAATTTGTCTGGCACAGTTCGGATTCTTATATTAATACCTTAAATATATGTTACCCATCGTTAGGCATAAATTCAAAATATAAGGTTGTAATTCATTGGTGTCTAAAACAACTGAAATCATTATTCTCAGGCCTGTTCATTTGCATACCGTATACTGATTATTAAATTTTCGCATGCATGTATATATACATTAATATCTGAAGATGCCTATAGAGGGCAGACAGCTAGCCTTTATGATTTCATGTCAGTATAAAGTGAAGTGGAGAACATTTTAACTGGACGTATATTTTATTTATTTATGCAAATTAAATTAGAAAGTCTTTTAATCTTGTATAATGGGTAAAGACAAAGATAAACATTTCATTTTTGTGGCCTAATACATGTACAATGTACATACAAAAATAAAATTATTAAAAATTTAACATTTTCTGATCTAAGAAAACCCAAGATTACTTTATATTATTGCACCCACCTTATCCATCATACTGAACTGTGAGGGGTAGGGTTTACACGGGAAATAAACAGACACCCCAGCAATCTTGTATACTGAATGTTGACCACTCACAGTCGCCATGATGTTTTCTTCTTTCTATATAACAACAGTATCTGAAATAAATGTGCAGGAATTGGAATGAAAAACTGATCGAGTGTTGGAAGTTTCTAAATGGAAAATACAACGTCAACAGACCACACTTACAGCTGCAAAGTGAAGTCTCAGCCCCATCCATTATACCAGTCACACGCGGGAACTCACTAAAACTTGTAAAAAAAGGAAGTGCGGAAGGCGTCAAGAGCGAACTTTTTCAGCAAGAGAGAGGTCAATACTCAATCAGTCAATGACTGGTCAACACAGTCACCGCACCCACAATCAACTCATCTACCTAGCTGTTGATGTCCACTAGGGTGGTAATAACAGCTTCATATCACTTATCGACAAAAAAAGTCACTCATTGACTTCAGTAGGCCTACTTTCAGTTTCAGTTGACTCAATGCAATGTTATGATTTCTGATGGTCCTCCGCCTTGATTGGGCCCTAGATTTGGTTAAATGGTTTCGCTGCCTAGTATCCATTCAAAGTAACGGGGGGAAATAATCATGGATTGTGAAACTACTATCAACAGGGTCGTAATTTTCCCTTTCCTTACTTCCTAATAATTTTCTTTCGTTTTTAGCGCCATATTTTTCTCGTTGACATTCTCACTTCCGGTTAAGAAATTTCGGAATGGATTTATTAGTTAAGGAAACGAAACGAAATAAATGTGGGGTTAAGCCCACTGATTTTTTTATTACAAAAACTTTCTGCCAACATCACATACAGTCGTGTTATTTTTGCAAAGGTACACTATACATTCATTTTTAAAATGGTAATATTAAAATAATCATGTAACCTTTGACCTCCAGCTGCTTGAAATTTTTGAATGTACATTATTTATTAATCAAGATGTTCTGGCCCATCGGTTTCAGTGATGCAGAACAGACTTTCTGACAAGTAAAAATTATCTAGTCCACCCATGTACTCATTGCTTTGCACATAAATGAACTCTTGGCAACTGGAATCCAAGAAGAGTAGGTAGAAATGCTGCGGTAAAGCTGGGCAAAATTTCCCTCATCCACCTCCCATCATGTGATCACCCTTAGCTATTAAAGAGGGAGAGAGAGAGTTTAACCTCCACTTGTCACAAACTAGGTCATTTCAGGACTAACATATGGTACAATTATATTTTGCCCATATAGGGGTCTTGAGTAGTGGGAGAAAACCAGAAGACCCAGAGCTGCTCAAAAGAAACCCCAGGAGGTTGGACAGGTGACACTAGTCCACTTGACATAAGGACAGAGCACACTTTAGGCAAGAAGGCACCTGTCACAACCATTGTCACAAGCACCTGTCACAGACTCTGTCAAGCCACAACCCTCCTGGTCCAGCACTGATTGGTATTTTATCAGTTGATTTGATGATATTTATATGGCCATAAACAATATTTTGGTGCTCAAATATACCCATATCACTTTAAAAGGACTGCATGACTTGGTTTTTAAATATTTAAAAAAATAAAAACTATCTCATCAATCACTTCTGTTAAGATTCTTTCCAGACAGGAAGCAACTTTCTAAAATCTGAATGACTATAATACAGGTTAATTTATCAAGTACCCAACCCTGATAAATGTTACTGGCAATCATAAACAGGTCTGGGTATCTATACATTGATACAAACAACATGATGAGATAAGTGAGAAGTGTACCTTTCAAAATAAAGGGGGGTCACGGTCGCCAAGTGGGCAAGACACTGGCTCGCTAGCCTAGAGGTTTGGGTGTTCGATTCCAGCATTGGCCGAGAAAGTTCATCCAGATTTTCCGGCGTGGTTCCCCCATGTCAGTGATGCAGGACAGAGGGCCTGACAGCTGACTAGTCACTCGGATGGTACGGAAAACTGAGGTCCCGTGTTCACATTGGTATGCTCATAAAAGATTCCTTGACAGTTGGAATTCGATATAAGAATAGGCCGCAGTGCCGCTATCCTGGCATAATGTCCCTCATAGCACACTGTTTGGCATATGCCCGTCTTCATTAGCCCAGTTCGGAGCAGAACAGTAGGATGTTAAACCCCATTTCATTTCATTTTTTCAAAGTAAAAACACAAAAATACCCCCCCCCCTCACACACACACAAACTAGGTCATTTCTGGACTTGCATATGGTTCAGTTTTATTCTAATAATTCACTGGTGCTCAGGGGGCTTTAGCAGTGGGAGGACTCCATGAGAAAACCCATGAGGTTGGACAGGCAACCATACTCTTTGTCACACACAAGCGAGGAATCGAAACCATGCCATTTGACTCAATGACAGACTTTATGATCCAACGTGCACGCGTCAACCTTTCGGCCACCTAATCTCCGTTTTGATGAAGAACCAAAATATTTATTTGTATGGCCCAATACGTCAGGCACAAAGTTCAAAATGTCTGGTACCAGTTCATTAGTATCGGACATTTTGTCAGGTACAACTAAAATAGTTATTTACAGGCCTGGCTTCAGACCACTCGAACACCCCCAACCCACCTTTAGCAACAAGAAAATAAAAGTAGAAGTAAATGTTTAATGGTGACACAGGAAATACTGATCACAACATTGAAAACATACTGAACATGTATTTACAATTTATTCTTCTATGCTGTTTACAATCAAAATACATTTCTTTTCAAAATTTTAAATATACACAATTCTTCGGAGATGTATATAGTGTGCGCCGTGCGGCAACAAAAAAAAATAAATGGCTAAATTTCCAACTACGCTGGGATTATGTTCTAGGCCCAATAATTGTTATAATTGTCTACTTTCTTAAATTCAAACAATAATTTTATGTGGCCTTCAAGTCCCAGTATTCCAGGAAATTATAGTCCAGTATTATTCTTGACTTCTTCATGATAAAAATATAAAATCCATCAATTTCTGTTGTTGGGATCATAAATAATCACTAATATTCTTGTTCCGATGTTCTTGATGTTCTCGACTGTATATATATGTATTCAGCATGAAAAAAACAACTTCTGGTATTGATGGAACTATTGAGTTCACAATTTATCAACGTTTTTCACAGTTTTTTAAAACTTTATTGGTGATTTTAAATACAGTTTTTTCATTCCCCACCCGCTTTAGAAAGTTTATTTCTTCTGTTGATGACTTTTCGTTTATCTTTCAATTGTTGAATCTGTAAAATACAACAGAAATATCATGAAATTAAGAAAAAGGTCAGAATTCAGTTGTATTCAGGTAAAGAAACCACAGTGGCCCTGTGGTTAAGGTCCTGGCTTGACTGTAATCACTGTAACCCAGGCATCGTTTAATCTTGTGTATTTAGCACTAATTTATTTCACATTCATTCAATATCAAATCTTTGTTTAAAAAATTGTAAAAATCGTTCAAGATCACCAAAAATTATCTAATTTGTTCTTGTGTCTAGTTTAAAGCTGACCATTCAAATTTTATAATGAGTGTCCAATTTACAAGCGTTTAATTTCTCGATCCTCCAATCGATACTAATGAGGTCATTTTGTGCCTAACATATGACTTGTCTGGGTCTTTCGAAGTGGGATGAAACTGGAGTACCCATATAAAACCCATGACTTGCATAGATAACAGGCAGTATGGTCTACATTCCCCACTTCCTAAAATGAATCCCGGCTCGAACAGTATCGTAACATCAATATCATCAAATATGTTGTGAGAGTTATAAGTTGTCAGCATAATACATGTTATTTAGCTATGAGTTATCATTGCATACCTTAGTATCTCTACGAATCTGAGATTTTATGTTGTGAGAGCTAAAAGTTATCAGCGTATTACACGTTATTTAGCTATGAGTTATTATTGCATACCTTAGAATCTCTACGATCTGAGATTTTAAGTTGTGAGTGCTATAAGTTATCTGCGTATTACACGTTATTTAGCTATGTGTTATTATTGCATACCTTAACATCTCTACGATCTGAGATTTTCAGTTGTGAGTGCTATAAGTTATCAGCGTATTACATGTTATTTAGCTATGAGTTATTATTCTATACCTTAGTATCTCTGCGAGTCTGAGATTTTATGTTGTGAGAGTTATAAGTTATCAGTGTAATACACGTTATTTAGCTATGAGTTATTATTGCATACCTTAGTATCTCTGCGAGTCTGAGATTTTACGATAGTTTCATACAATCTTTTCTTCTTCTTCGGTATCATCATTTCAGCCAATCGTTTTTCTTCTTTCTCTTGCTGCTGAACTTTACGATTTACGTTGACTTTCTCAACCGATCCTGGTGTAACGGCCATATCTTTTGGCTGTTAAAAATATAAAGAAACATGTTCATAATAAATGATTATTTAATTCTACAATAACCTTTCTGGAAATCTCCGGACAAGGTACTGTGTTTACATAAGAAATGAAATAAAATGGGGTTTGAAATCTATTCTTAAAATAAAACGCTGCTGTGTGGACAAAATGTCCCTCATATATCACACTGGCTGGCGATATCCATCTCCATTAGCCCAGCTGGCGTAAAAAAAAATAAGGATATTAATCATAAACGTTCACTTGACACAAATTAAGTCATTATTTATTTCAATTATTTGCTTTATTATATGTAAAGGTCTTTAGCGGGGGTAGGAAATTAGAGGACCCGGTGAAAAGCCACATGGTTGTGCAGGTGACCCTACTCCTTGTCACATACAAGTTTTGGATTGAAACCAACCCACTTGACTCAATGACAGATCGTATGATCTAAAGCACGTGTTAAACCACCCGACCACCCAATCTAATCAAATAATGCAGTTTAATTGTATATTTACCTTTTTTGCTGGTTTTGGTGTTTTAACAGGCTTCTTAACATCCTTCTTACTCTTTTTAGGTGTTTCTTCTGGAAAAAAAAAATATTCCCCAAAATACAATATACAATGTAGAGATAAGATCATATTGGATTTTCAGACTAGTTGTTTCCCTCAGTCAATAGTGCAGTTAGAGGACCTGGCAAGAAACAGTGTCTAATCTGTGGCCCCACATGTCCAGCCCTTAACCATTGGAATTCAATTAAGACTTAGTGTGCTATGAGGGAAATTTTGCCCGGGCAGCGGCACTAGGACCTACTCTTATATCGAATTCCAACTGCCAAGGGATCTTTTACGTGCACGCCAATGTGTACACGGGACCTCGGTTTTTCCTCCCATCCGATCGACTAGACAGCTGTCCTTGTCAGGCCCTCCGTCCTGCATCACTGACAAGGGGAAACCACGCTGGAAAATCTGGATGAACTTTCTCAGCCAATGCAGGGATTGAACACCCGACCTCCAGGCTAGCGAGCCAGCGTCTTACCCACTTAGCCACGTGATCCCCAAGACTGAGTGTAGACACCACTGTCCAAGCAATATTTCCCTCATATCACACTCAAAATTAGCCCAGTTGACGTAGAAAAATAGGATATTAATCTCAATTTGAATCGATTTCATTTTGCTATACCTGAGGAACTAATCTTGTAATAAACGAGTAGTACAAATGATTCTAACACTCAGACAAATGGAAAAAGAGAACAAATTGGGTAAGGTTGATAAATGAAAAGAAATGGGGTTTAACGTCCTACTGTTCTGCTCTGACTGGACTAATGAAGACAGACATAAGCCATACAGTGTGCTAAGAGGTAAATTTTGCCCGGGCTGCGGCACTATCGCATACTCTTATTTATATTGAATTCCAACTGCCAAGGGATCTTTTACGTGCACGCCAATGTGCACAACTGACAAGGGAAAACCATGCTGTAAGGCAAGATTGACAAAATGACCAATTTACAATAGCTGAGCTGAGAAGTGGTATCAGGTTTTCTAGGAATAGATTATTACTAAACAAATTACCTTCTTCATCATCACTATTTTCATCACTATCATCTTCCTCTTCATCTTCCTCCTCCTCATCATCATCATCCTCCTCCTCTTCAACAGCTTCTTCTTCATCCTCATCATCATCATCCTCATCCTCCATCAAACCATCATCTTCTTCCACACCTATAGATCACACAATATTTTTGAATTAAATACACAGTTTAAATCCATACACAAGAATAAATATCCTAATTAATTTGTTCTAATCTTCTTAAATATAAAATAACTAGCGGATGACCTGGCACTGCACAGGTTGAAAGTAGCCTAACTCTGGAAGCGGTAGTTCAACGCCACCTAGCCCACGTTACTCCCTGGTCCGAGCTACCCCTATACACCAAATTTCAGCCTCAGGACAGCCCTAGTGTAGCCACCAACCCTGAACAGACAAACAACAGTCACAAATATTATATACTAGAAGAATGCCCGGCTTCGCAAGGGTGTCGTAACCCCGAAACCGGAAGTGTTAGACTAACGCCACCTGGCCTATGTTACTCCCCAATACGAGCTACCCCTATACCCCAAATTTCAGACTCGGGGCAGACCTAGTGTAGCCGCCAACCCCGAACAGACAGACAGACAAACGACAGTCACAAATATTAGTATAGAAGATATTCAACTGTATGGTGAGTCTCACAAGAGCCTTTCAAAGGATGGCTAAAACCCAGAGTTAATTCACACGAGTAGGCAGGTGACCATATTCCCAACAGTTTAAACCCAACTCGTCTAATCCAACACAACTCCCTCATCGAACTCTTCATTTAGACCTAACTCCTTCATCCAATACAACACCAAACCCAACCAAATCCTTCACCAAACCAAACACTTTATACCCAACTCCTTCATCCAACCTGACAATTTAAACCCAACTCCCTCCTCCAACCTGACACTTTAAACCCAACTCCCTCATCCAACGCAACACTTTGACCTAACTCCCTTATTTGATGCAACACTTTAAGCCCAACTCCTTCATCCAACCTGACACTTTAAATCCAACTCCCTCATCCAACGCAAAACTTTAAATCCAACTCCCTTATCCAACACAACTCTTTAAGACCCTCATCTAACCCAACCCTTTAAACCCAACTCCCTCATCCACGCCAACACTTTAAATCCAACTCCCTCATCCAACGCAACACTTTAAATCCAACTTCCTTATCCAACTCAACTCAGACCCTCATCTAACCCAACCCTTTAAACCCAATTCCCTCATCCACCACCCCAACACTTTAAACCCCACTCCCTATTAAACTCTACCTGAATCTATCCCTTGTTGTCGTCGCATCTGTTGTTTACGTTCTGCCGGTACGTAATCTCCTTCTTTCTCTTTAACAAAGGGAGATAAATGAGGTGGAAGTTCAACACCAGGGAAATAATCTTCAACAGGTATCAACATCTGAGAATTAACACAATCAAATATCCACTGAGGCTGTATATAATATCTAAAAAAACAGACAAAAGTAAACCACATGATATTCAGAAATTACAGGAAGATAATGGAGGAATGAAGACATTGGAAATGAAATGAAATGATGTTTAACGTCCTACTGTTTTGCTCCGAACTGGGCTAATGAAGACGAGGATATGCAATACAGTGTGCTATGAGGGAAATTTTGCCCGGACAGCGGCACTACGGCCTACTCATATCGAATTCCAACTGTTAAAAGATCTTTTACGTGCACGACAATATGTACACGGGACATCGGGTTTCCGTCCCATCTGAACGACTAGACAGCTGTCCTTGTCAGGTCGTCCGTCCTGCATCACTGACATGGGGGAAACCACGCCGGAAAATCTGGATGATCTTTCTCGGACAATGGAGGGATCAAACACCCGCCCTCCAGGCTAGCGAGCCAGCATAACACTGTTGTAATGCTACTTTCCCACTATCCTGATTCGCGCTACGACTGAAAATTGTAGTTTTAATCGTGTAGTAATCCTGGTGATCCTATCAGGTCTTATCATAATAGTGGTCTGTCGTAGCAATTGTGTTGATCGTATCGAAATTATCCAAACATATCTTGACGTACCAGATCATGGACTCAGTAGGGACAATCCTATCGAAACACATTGCCCAACAGTGGAACCTATCATTAGTGTCCACTTATATAACCTGTGTTATAGTCAGTTCCTTATATATCCTACTAAATGTCTTCACTATAAGGCAACACAATTAAAATAAGTTGTTTCTCGGGCACCGCCCGCACGCAAAATTGGTTGCGCTTGCGGCCTATTTATTAGTCTTGATGAAAAATAAAAAATATGTAACGCCCGCCCGAACATCGATAAGCAAGTCATAAAAAAAATATGCCGCATGTATCTACATGCCCCATTCGTGAATATCCATTCAAATGTATTAAACTGATTCAGATATCGTAGAACAGGTTAATTATTATAACTTGTGGCTACGAATACGATACGATGATAGTCACCATATCCTTAGTCAGAATCTGGGTCATTAGCACGTTTAACGGTAGTTTTGATAATCCGGAAAATAATAATTGGATTACACATTTGATGGTTTTACTGACGAGTTGTTAGTTAAATTTAAATAGTCATTCGATATAAACCCCAGATAGAACACCGAATATGCTGAGAAACACACCAAATATCCTGAGAAACAGTCATTTCACGAATCCCGATGACACGTGACATGCATTGGTTGGAATTAGGTCAATCATTATAAACCAGCGATACTAGATTTAGATCGAAGTGTCGTTTACCGTGATGATTATTTTTGATACACATGCTGACAGAGGCTTACTCTTTAAAATATTGTCGTTATTATGGACGGCTATTAATAGTCGTACGGAATTTTATTTTAAACCAATTTCAATTATGGTTGTCACCATTACCATTAGTAAGCTACATTACGTGAATTAAATATGGAAAATTATTTTCCTTTCAGTCAGTGTTCAGTGTTTGAGTAGACTTGATTTTTGGATTTATGTTCTAAGTATGTATAATATATAACTGAAAGCAAAACCGTAGACAAGTAATGACTTTCTCATTAAAAAAAAAAAAAAATACAAGGCCGCCCTCCCACCCCAACAATTTTCAACAATAGGCAAATTTTATTTTGCACCATCCTCTAGCCAGAAATGAGATAAAAAAAAAAAATAAACCGCCCTCCCCCCCTACAGTTTCAGCTGTCAGTTGCCCGAGAAACAAGACATTTATTTTGTGTAGCCTAACACTGTTCTGGGCCATATTGATCCATGTGTTATACTTCAAACTGCCATTTAGTTGGGTCCTAGAAATCCCAGCAACTCCTGAAGATTCCATGAATGAGTCCAGTTTCCTAACCTCTTCAATGGTTACAACTTACCTGGATAAAAACTGTTTCTCTACTGTTGGTCTGTCTACTATCTGATGTGTTATACTTTCATCTGATTCTTGGTAGGAGGCGCCAACGGCTAACGATTTATCCCACGATACTTCACCTCCAAATGACCTGTACAAAAACAAAGTTCAAGTTGTTCACAAATACTTGAGATAAACCATCCCACCGATTTTACCCAGTTTTCAATAATAATCACGATATTATTCCTGAGGAGAGAAAAATATCCAGAAAATGATGGAAGATTGCATCAAGTAATTGAAATGTGCAAATAAAAGAGACAGAGAAATGGTGTTAACATCCACTCGACACAAACTAAGTCATTTCGGGATTAACCTATTGTTCAATATTATTTCAATAATTCGCTTACATGTAGGGATCTTTAGGTCTTTAGCACCGGGAGGAAACCAGATGACCCGGAGAAAATCGAAATGTGTATATAAAGCAGTCTGCATAAATTGCATGAGTTCAATCAAGTTAAATGTACAGAAAGCAACACATACAGAAATAAAGTCATATTGTAAAATATTCAATTTGTTCTAAGGATTTGAATGAAAGACCCACCTGATAATAAATGTGATGGATTCCCGTGGAATTTCACGATTTAAGAAAAATTTCTTTCCTTTGAATAAATTCTGGAACTGGTTCAATTTTTCTGATTCGAGTTTTGCTTTTTCTATAAAATCTGGATCATCAGGCTGTAAACAAATAAAATAGAAATAACTAAATTAATAAATTGTAACGCATCAGTTCCTAACAGAATCTTTAAATTTTTGACCGTCCTGTTAATAAACAAAGAATGAAATGGAAAGGGGGATAACGTCTTTCTCTTCTGCACAAACCGAGCAAACGTAGACGGGCATATGCGATACATTGTGCCATAATGGAAATTTGTTAGGGCCTACTTATATTTTAAATTTTCAACTACGGGGATCTTTAACGTGCTATCAGCTGTATGCAAGGGATCTTCAGAAGTTTTCCCTACCTGACACCTACTCTCCCCTCACCCTTGTCCTGAAGCAATGACATGGAGAAATCAATTGCAAAAACCTGAGAATTTGTCTCTGCTAACACTGGGATTGAACAGCTCCTGGTTCATAGTTACTCGGTTCTCAAGTTTAACATCTAGCAAAACATAACTAGGTTATTTCGGGACTAACATACTGTGATGTTTGCTATTTTAATAATTCTCTATACCCCAGAGAAAAACTACAAGGGTTAGGTTGACTTCTTGTGAATTTACAATAAAAAGAAGTAACTTACATTACCAACAGGAAATTCATCAACATCTGCGTCTTCAATGTTATCTGTTACCATGGCTTTTAACGTCTGTGTCATTGCTGCTAACCTCTGATAATCACAAAAGAAAAAAAGATAACGTATATAATACAGCTTCATGTATGAGGAATTTGATAGAATAGTGTCTTTATGTACAAGGAATTGAATAGAACAGCTTCATGTATGATGAATTTAATAGAATAGAACAGCTTCAGGTATGATGAATTTAACAGTCTCTTCATGTATGAGGAATTTAATAGAACAGTGTCTTAGTGTATGAGGAATTTAATAGAACAGTGTCTTCGTGTATGAGGAATTTAATAGAACAGTGTCTTCGTGTATGAGGAATTTAATAGAATTTAATATTTCCCATTTATTGACTTTCTATTCATTTGAATTAATACATTTACGGTTTCCCTCGTCCAAGTTAATAGTCTAATAACAGGTTTCATATTTCATGATTTCCAACTTATTGAATTAATGCATTTATGGTTTCCCTTGCATCAACGAACACACGTTCAGGAGCATATGACGAACTTAGACATTGATTCCCATACTTTTGTTCCATTTCAGTGCTTATCCAGTTTTTTTCACAGTCTAATTATACACTTTACAACCCAATAGAATTTTATCGTGGCCCACAGTTGGATTCGAACCTGAACGCTAGACAACCAGAAAGTAATAAGAAATTAAGTTTTACATTATTGTGCACAATTTATACTGCTCTCCCTGTTTTTCTCCTCTCACCACAACAATTGAGCCTCTAAAATTAACATAATCTTTTATACCATACCTCTTCTGTAGCTTCTGATTTCAGACATTTTGTTTCTGTCTCGTCTTTTGCTCCTGCCAGTTGGAGCTGTGGTGGATAGTGTAAATTTAATGAATGATATAAGCGGAAGTTGGTGAATCCAAGAAGCGTCGTATAAAAATCAACAAATGTTCTCATTATCTTAAAATCTATATCACTGGGTTGCTGAAAGATAAAATCATAAAATTAAGTTTCAAATTTAAAATTTCGTTCTTTATGGTTCCACATCAAACTTTTGAGGGTCATGCTTTTAATCATGGTATTATGAATTCATGTATGTATACCACTTTGTCGTTGGGCGCCATGTGTAATTAACAAAGAAAACAATATCCTGCAAAAAACGTGTAAAATTGACTATGCAGGCTTAAACAACTGTCTTTCAGGTTGGACTGTTCACTTATTTCAACGAACATGAAATAAAATGAAATGGGGTTTAATGTCCTGCTGTTCTGCTCCAAACTGTGATAATGAAGACGGACATACACCATACAGTGTGCTATGAGGGAAATTTTGCCCGGTCGTGAGCAATGTGTACACAGAACCATGGTTTTTCCTACGATCCGAACGACTAGACAGCTGTCCTTGTTCTGCATCACTGTCAAGGGTGAACCATGCTGGAAAATTGGGATGGACTTTCTCGGCCAATGCAGGGATCGCACACCCAACCTCTAAGCTAGAGAGACAGCGTCTTACCCACTTAACCACCGTAACTCCCCTTCAACGAACACAATTGATAAGAAATAACAGACCCATTTTGGTCTATTTTAATGTTCCAAAGAATAGAATCAAGACATTCATCATTAATTATCAGCAAAACATAGACAGTTTTCTATTCCAAGGGTCATTCAATACAAATTGTGAATTAGATAATATGTATATTTAATATATTACCTGATAACCAACTTTATGAGGTACAATCCAGGTAATCGTCTGTCCCATTATTTCAGCTTGATAATAAATACCTTTTATAGAAATAAACACCTGCAATAAATAACGTAAAATTATCTTATTAAATCTAATAATTTCCTACACAAATGAGAAGTGGTATCAGATGTTCTAGAATGGATAAGCATACCATGTGAACTCCTCAAATGAGAATTAGTATTTGGTGTTCTAGAAGGAGTAAGCATACTATGTGAACTCCCTGAATGAGAAGGTATTAGATGTTCTAGAATGGGTAAACATACTATATGAACTCCCCGAATGAGAGGGTATCAGGTGTTCTAGACAGAGTAAGCATACCATGTGAACTCCTCAAGTGAGAAGTGGTATTTGGTGTTCTAGAAGGAGTAAGCCCACTAAGTAAACTCAATGGATATCTGTTCTGGAAAAAGTAAGCATACTATATGAATTCCTCAAATGAGAAATGGTATCAGGTGATCTAGAAAGAATAAGTATACTATATGAATTCCTCAAATGAGAAGTGGTATCTGGTGTTCTAAAATGATTAAGTATTACATGTGAACTCTTCAGTATTTTGATGAAATATTGCAAACGAAGAAACCAATTGTTACATTTGCCAGTAATTCTAAAAGATCTAGTAGCATCCAGTAAAAAGATTGAATAAAGTAAGAAATATATTTCACCTTTCTAAGAGCTTGACTTGTTATCACAAAATGTTGAAATTCAACTGTAAAATAAAAATAAATCATTATTAACAGAAATTGAGAGATAAAGATATTGATATGTTTGAACCCAAGCTTGTATGTGACAAAGAGTAACGTCACCTGCCTGACTTTGTAGGTTTTTTTCCGGGTTATCCAGTTCCCTCCTACTGCTAAAGGAGGGAACCGGTATACGCCATACAGTGTGCTATAAGGGAAATTTTGCCCAGGACCTCCAGGACAGCAAGCCCACATCTTACCCACTGAGCTACAGTGGTTCCCATGTCCCAAAATAACCTAGTTTGTGTCTAGTGGACATTAAACCTCATATATCTCTTTCTGTAACACTAAGGATATAAGTTTTTCAGCAAGTGCCCTAATGGTCTGATCAACAAGAGATGTGCTGGACGTTATTGTCTACTGTGTATAATCATCTACACTGCTACTAGACTCCTTCGTCCAGACTTCCCTACTGATTAATATTTGATGATTTGTTATAAATACTGGGCCTACCTGTGAGCCTACGACAGAGTTGAACGGATCTAGTTTTAACAGTGAACGACGTGGGGAGAGTAGCGAATAGAAAACACATGGTTAAACAATCATCTAAATCACGAACAGCATCAATAAATGATGGATATCTGAAATAAACAATATTTAAATTTAATATATTTCACACATATAATAGGTCAATCGTTAGAAAGGAAGAGGGTTCAGTTAAGGTTGGATATACTGAGATGCAATGAAAATGCACCACTGATTTGATTGAAGTACTGATGAAACATAATGTAATTTCTGGTATTTATGCAACAACATAAGAAATTCAACAACCACAAATGATGGCCATGACAACTTATCAAAAAGTGAAATGCAGACACAAAGGGGTTATAATCAAGTCAGTAACGTGTGCGTTAACCTCTAGCAGTCACTCACGCCATGCCACACCTCATAGAGGAGATACATGTAAGGCTCTGAATGGCTGATAGTTGTATACTTCGCTATGCTGAATCCAGTGGCACAACTATTCTCTGCAATGCTTAAAGCACTAGTTTCAACTGGTTCAACACAACACAATTTATATGGGAGTGAGAGAATGGGGTTTAACATCCACTCAACACAAACTAGGTCATTTCGGGACTAACATATGGCTCAATTTTATTTCATTAATTTGCTTGCACGTAGGGGTCTTTAGCAGTGGGAGGAAAACCGGAGGGGATTTGTGCTTGATAACAATAAGAGAAGACTTGTGGAAACATTGTAATCTGTGTACAAACCAGTGATTGTTTTGCATATAAATTGTGTTGTGTTTTTATATTTTTTTAACTAAAGGGTTAAATATAATGTCACGAATAACTGAGTTTATCTACCTTTCTTTAACAATATGATCTAGTTTATATTTAGGTCGACTGGCTTTAATTCTGGCCACAGCATCATCATTCTTCTTATGTATGGCTTTTGTTAATCTTTTCATAAATCGCTGAAACAAAGTTTTTAAGGAATTAATTAATTAATTGAAAGGTTAGGAGTATGTAGAGCTTTTCAGCAAATGGCATCAGTTAGCAGACCGAGATTTCATTTCAAAATTTTGCCAGTTTGATGCATTTTTTCCAAAGAATTTGCCAATTTTAAGTGTTTTACACATAAAGACTATATATTTATTGTGTTTTAAGGTTAAACTATTTGAAATATTAATTCTAAGGCTGGTCGATTTCCCTGCCAGTTAATCAAGTTAATCAACTATAACTGAAATGAGAGCTATAGTGGAAATTGTGTGACTGACCAATATGACAAACTAGAGCCCTGTGCCTCTGGTGGAAATCATGTGACTGGGTTATAATCCCACTATTCTATTGAACTAAATATGTACCTTGGTTTGACGGAATTTAACAATTAATGGTTCATGAGAGAGATAGTTAATATCTTTAACAAAATAAAATGTCCGAGTTATTCCACTTCCTTTTGTCGCTTGTTTCAACTTTTTTGGTTCCTGCGGGTAGATCCCTTTCAAGATACATAACTGCCTAAAAAAGAAAAGAAACAGGACACAAGATTACAAAAACAATCAAAGAAGATTATTCAGAGCAACAGAAGCATGAGTTTACCATAAACATTTTAATTAAGCCTACTTTTAAAACTTTAGAATGATAAGGCAATAAATATATGCCCAGTTTTTACCTGAAATCCTTGAGACTCAACTGTAATTTTCTTAATGCCTGGTTTCTGGTGATGAAGGCAGTGGCTGAACCTGATTCGTACTGAAATATTCAAATGATGTGAAAGTTAAAATTAAATTTACAAACCTTTTAAACAACCATAAGTTGGTAGAAAGATAGCATGTACCTTATATTCAGGAAGATAACCGGTAATCTCATCATTTTGTTAGAAAATACTAGCAACAGGTTTTAATGAACTGTTGTAATACTAGCCCTGTAACGAGACTTATGTTCAGAGCTCACTGCTGTAATACTATATGAAGACCTTTAAAAAGGCTAGTCAATCGGAAGTGGATTGTATTTTAACTACTATTATTTCAATTTGAGCCATTTAATGTACCCATCATCATACACACTCATTTTTCTCATTCTTAAAAATGAATTTTTACAACAGCACCAATTTAAACGTAACTTACTCAAAGTATCAAACTATAAAAAAGACACCACTGTCTCATATTATTTTAATTAACTAAGTAAGTCAAATAACGATTTTTCACACCATTACAGTTGTAATTTATGAAGAGGGTGCAACGCAGAACCACGAATTTGAAAGGCTAATATCATTACCCCTTTCCATTAAACGGCAACAGAGATTCAGATATCATTTCTGCTGCATTACGTAATGCTCTGGATAAAAAATGTATCTATCAAAACAATAAAACTATATATATCAGAAACACAGAAGTTCTAAATCCATTTTAATAGACTCCACCAAGGCAAATTATAGATGATGGACTGAAGGATAAATTAAACCAATCCCACATTTGTATTTATTATTGTGGAAAGTCAATTTTTATTGTTAAACTCTGCCTTTTATGTTCTGCTAAAATCGAACCAAAACTGCTTCTGAAAATTGAAAGTGAAGAAATGCTAGCGCTGAGTGAAAGTGAAATGAAAAATTCGGTAATGGTTTAGGCGATGTTTTATACAGATCAACGAAGACCAAGATCGATTTGTTTCCTACGTCCACGCCAGTCCATTGGAGATAATATATTTCTAAATGTAGTCATTAAATAACTTATTAAACCTTTCGTTTTCTCTTCATCTTGATAGAAACTTATTATGTTTTGGTTTGTTTTCTATTTTCTTCAACACACGTGTTTTTGTAAAGGGAGATAACCACTTCCGTTTCTTGACTTTGTTCTCGATTACTTAGACCGGTTTAAACTCATTCGAAAACAGAGCGCGTCATACGATTTTCATATAAAACCTTTATTTGCTCACACAACTAACAACTAACTAACAAACCCTTTGACTCAGTAGCGGATTATCAGTGAGGCTGATGAGGCTGCAGCCTCAGGCCAAAGATTTTGTAAAAAAAAAATTTTTTAGACTTGTCTGATACGATTAAAATCGCATAGACAATGAATGTTAGGGAGTGGGGTTTAGGCCCAACGGGAATCAACATAGGCCCTGACCCGAAATTAATTAGACCCACGCCATTTTAAATAGGCCCTATTGTTTGGAGATCTGATCTTATTTTTTAAACGTAGGCCTACAATGTACGTTAAATCCTTGTAAGTTTTCGGTTGTCTTGCTTAATATATTGTATCCACGTGACGTCATTTATGGGCATATAAAGTTACATTACGTTTTTAATGTTAGCAACTACCTTGGCTCTAACTTTAAAAACTAAATAGGCCCTCCAGCAACTGCCGCCTCAGGCCTTGGTGGAGCTTAATCCGCCACTGCTTTGACCGCGATATCACGTTAAAGCGGATGTTAAATAAAGCTATTTCCCACATACCTTTTGGCTTTGCATTTTAAAATAATTGTACACTTCCAGACGGCCAAAAGCAATAGACACATATTGATAAATTCAGATAATTCAATTATTGTATGAGTGACTGATCGTAGCCTCCTAAACGTGAAAGTAGTTTAATTTCAGAAATCGCGTATGTCTCTTGCAAACAAACTTTAAAAAATAACACCATACCCATCCCACCCCGCCAACCTCTCTTAAACTCACTTTTTTTTTAATAGGATAGTAAATTAATATTGGTTTAGATAGAGAGTATTTTTTTCTCAAGACAGAATTTCGATTGCCGGAAAATTGTTGAAACAAATAATGGTCGATTCCCGAAATTGTGGCAATAAAGCAATACGTACAGGTTCGCCGAATTCATGCAAAAGAAAGTAAAAGATTATTATCACGTGAATTGTCCCTATAGAGAAATGTTTGTAGTAGAGAAAACTTTGCAATACTGGAAAGCAAATATTTTTTCACAAAAAAAAACAACATTTTATTAATATTTCTCCTTCCCGAAAAATTTGATTGCCCGAAACTTGGGGGAGGGGTCCGGGTAGCTACCCCCCCCCCTCACCCATCCACGCCCTGTCCAACAAATATCCGAGGTCCCGTTTATACCACTGGCTAAGATATTCTGTCAGTTGTCAGGTAAAAAAAAAAAAACTCGTAGCAAACTGCATGGCGCACGTACGTATGCCCGCCCTGGTCGAGGTTATATCCCGATCTTGGCTGAAACGTGGGACGTCAAACTCCATTTCATTTTTCGAATAAGTAAGCATATGATATATCATGTCTTATTTAAATATTGTATTACACTTGGCAAAAATGTCGCTTGGCCGTGTTGCCCATGTCACCGTTTCTACGCAGGATCAAATCAAACAATAATTTTTTTGTTACGATCACCCTTCCATAAACAAAAAACTATCCCAGATAACCCAATTTTATCTGTCAAAATGGCGATCCAACCACAAGAGATTAAATTAGGAACAAGACGTGTGACATTTCCTTCTGAATATTTACAGCAGTTGGAAGATTCTAATCATTGCCTGAATGACGTCAACGCTCTCCATGAAGAGATGGAAAGGAAGGGGTAAAACTCTTCTACAGTAAAACCTGTCTAAACTGGACACAGGGCCAAGCAGGCTGTATATAGCGTGTGCTATATATGGTGTGCTATATTATTTAACCTTTTGACTAAAATGTCGCGGGTTGAATCCCGGCGCGGGACGAGAAGATCGAATCTCGAGATTTTTTAATCCCGGTTCCGACTTATCAGGGGTAGCGCTTACTCTTCGGATAGACAAAAAACCAAGACAGTTGGTATTGGCCAACGAGTGGGCGGACACGCCACTGCCTGGGTAAAATTCTCCTACCTAGCATTGCACATATAACTATAGACGAAATAACCGTATGTTAGTCTTAAAATGACTGATATTTATGCGGTTACATGTGCAATGTGAAGTAGGGGAATTTTGCCAGAACACAGCGTTATCGTCTACTCTTCCTCGATGGCCAACTGTCAATTTAGAATTTGTGTGCACACCAATATGTACAACACGACTAGACTTCGGCTTTTCGTACCACCCGAAAGACTTGGCATACTTTCCTTGACGCCATAGAGTCCACGTTGTAATGAGAACCCGCAACAGTCGTGAGTCCAGTGACCTATCCACACGACTTCCGCAGCCGCCTCCTTTATATACAGGCCCGTAACTAGTGGGGGCGCAGGGGGGGGGGGGGTGCAAGTTTCGCCCACACCCCCTGTGAAAAAACTGTCGACCATAAAAACCCCTATAGATATACAATGTCGGTCAATTTTACAGCACCCCTGAGAACTCTTCCCGTTCCCTCGTTGTTCTGAGCTAGTTACGGCACTGTTCTATAATTTTATGAATAATTGAATGGACTATCCCTATAAAATATATTACAGGTATTTATATTTGCGAGGATTTCACGATAGAGGAGAAGTGTTAAAAGCCAGACTAGAAGTGTTAAAATATTTGAAGTCCACTAGTGATGATATTCTTAGTTCTGATCAACCATTAGAGGTGGGAGTTCTTAAACAAGGTTGTGGTGTTGGTTGTGTGCCCTTTATGGAGGTAATTTACTTTCATTTTAGAATATCAGTCTGATTAATATCAGTTTATATGTCGGTTTTAAATTAGACGGGTTCGATTCTGGTGTTGGTCGAGAAAGTACCTCGGGAATTCCAGCGTGGTTTCCTATTTTCTGTGTATGGTGCGGAGGACCTGGCAAGGAATAGCAACATTTCTTCTGTTAGTGTTTAACGTCCGCTTCCACCTATGGTGATATCGCAGACGGATTCTCGTTTTTTATTATGCTTAGCCGACGCGCAGTGGCCTTTCCTGTGGGAGGAAATCTAAGTACCCGGAGTAAACCCTCGAGGTCGAGAAGGCGCCCCTATCTCCAAATCACATACGCTCACATCGGGGATCGAAACCACGCCCGCAAGCCAGTGGCGACCGGCCAGCTAGACGTCGGAGCGTGACATTAGCACCCCGCCCCCATCCCCCCAATAGCAACATTGACAACTAATCTATTTATATACCCATTGAAGTCTCGTGCATAACGTAACCAACGTCACGTGTCTAAACGTCAATCGTTACGAAACGTGAATATGACATACATGTAATTGTAAATAGCTTGCTAATATATAAAGCAACTCATAACTTTTAATAAGTCATTTTGAATATCACAGGCTAATCAGTTTGCAGAAATTCAAATAATTATAAAATACATTCACTGAATATAGGGGAAGAATGTGATATCACACGCCGATCCTGTTAGAAAAGTTCTTGAAGGACCCAAACGTAAGTATATCTATTTTTGTAATATTTTTGTTTTTATGTTAGATGGTTTGTTGTTGGGTTATGTGCATCGGAATGCTTGACCTTCAAAATCGGCTAGAAAATAGACTCACCCAGTGATATCTTAATAACCTGAATTCAGATCCCACCAAGCATGGCATTAATCTGTTTTATTTTACAGCTTTTAAATTTTTCAAGAATTATTTTGGTGGAAGAGAGGTTAGAACCTTTGACTTCAAGTGGCTCAGGTAGAACTATAGAAATAGAAATTAAATATATATTCACTCCAGCATAATTAGGTCAAAGGTTGACTCTTTAAACTCTTTAAACTTTTATCCAAATGTATCTAATGGCCAAAAGTAAGACGTTAAACCCCATTTCATTCAATCATTTCTAATGGCCAGGGGATATCAAATTTTGAACCCAAATTCCCTTTAGGTCCACTCATGGAAAAACTTATCTTTAGTTTATTCGTATGTCTCGCTGACCAGGAGGTTCGGGGTTCGATGTTGATGATGGGTGAGAAAGTTACCCAGGTTTCTCCAGTCTCTATCATAAGGATTCTTCAGTCTTGTTTCTTCTCCTTTTTAGTGGTGTAGGAGGTAGAGCCTGGCAAGTAACCCAAGTTCCGCGTACACATGGAATTGTAGGTAACATAACCCTTGTCAACTGGAATTCGATGAAGAGTAGGCTGTCAGGGCAAAATCTCCTTTATAGCACACAGTAAAGCGTATCCTCGTCTTCGTTATCCCGGTTGGTTCAGAGAATTTGGATCTTAAACCCCGTTCATCCCATTCCATATATTCCATAATATTGTATAGCTCATTGTTTTATATTTTGTTATTTAAAGGGCTGTACATACAGAAGGGTTTACAGGAGCTCATGTTGATAATGTATATATGGGTAGAGGAAGTAAGGAACTGTTGACTATGTGGACACCTTTTGGTGATATTACAGCGGATATGGGGGTTCTAGCTATGTGTGAGGGTTCACATAGATTACCTAGGTGAATTAATTATAACAACACTCCACTCTAGATACTTGCTCCATTAAAAAAAAAACCAATTCTCTACACCCTAGCAGCCCCTGCCCCTTCGATTCTCTCCAATCTGGCCGCTTATACCATCGTATAACTTATACCTCCATACCGCACACCCTTTCCTCCCCACCCTTTGCATTTACTTTATTCCCGCCCCTTCAATCCACTCCACCCTAGCAGCCGCCGAGTGATACTTTATCCATCTGTTTAACGATTTATAGTTTCACAATCAACTGCTATTTTATCAATCTATTTAATTTTCATGAGCTAAATATTAATTTTTGGGTTGAATATAAAATATTGCCTTGAATATAGTTATATACCGTAGTTTATAAGTTGTCGTAACGTCACATAAGATATTGAGTTAAAATATAAGTTGTCTTAACGTCATAGAATAATATAGAGTTAAAGATGCATTATGTAAACGTTAAATCTGTTTAATGCAGATCTTTCGGTTGATTACAAGTTGTAACGTTATACACAATATAGAGTTAAATAGTTAAATATAAGTTCTCGTAACATCATAGACTATATGGATATACAGTTAACGATAAGTTGTCGTAGCATAGAGTTATAAGTCGTCCGAAACTTAAATATAAATTATGAGCTAAATATCATAAACTTTGATGTAACCAATTTGCGGTTGTTTTCAGTTTTGCCAAATTTCAGGAGAAATACGGTAACTTGGATGTAGAAGCCGTTGGTTTAAAAGGTATTGAATTATGGGTTATAATTAATTTTTGCAGTTTTTAATTTGGTTAAATTAAACCAACATTTTGTTCGGTTTTGTTTTTCGTTTTTACTCCACTTCATCTTCACCTTAGCTGTATAGGAAGCGTTAAGTAGTACGCAGATTGGGATAGGTCGACTTACGATATGTCTACCAATCAAACTGTGATAAATAAAATTCTTCGAAATCTTACTAAAGGCTTTGTAATAGTTGTAAGGCATTATAATAGTTGTCTAGCAAAGACTAATTACGCACCATTTTTGAAACATGTTTTCAGATATTAATGGAGCGACCAGTCGACGACCACCTTTGGATATAAACAAATGTATGCTTATAGAGCTCGGCTCCTCCTCACTAATCAAAATAGGCACATCTGTCCAATCCAATTCAATTCTTTATCTGTATCTGAATCAAAGAAAATGAAACGAAATGTCCTTTTACGTCTTCCCTTCCTTCATCAACCGGCTTAATAAAGACGGGCATATATATATATGCAGTATATGCCGGGGACGGGGAGGGGAGGGGACGGGAGGGGGGGGGGTAATCTTGCCCGGACAGCGACACTTTCGCCTGCACTTCGTGAAGACGGTAACTCGGGAGTTTGTCCCATCCGAACATATTGTAATTGTTTCTGGCCAGGCCATCCGAACTGCACCAATTATTTTAGGGGGAGTGAGATTAACCTCCAGTTTAGTAAGCCATCTTCTTACCTCCCGAGCCACCACGATGGCTCCCGAAATGATTTCTTTTAGTAATTGCCTGGTGGCGAATCTTGTCTTTAAGGCGTCTAAAACAATGTAAATATTTAATATTATATATTTGCCTATATTTAAAGGAACTGGGTGGTTTACCTGTGATCCGTATGAAATAACCGATAAATTCGGTGGGCAATGGAAAACGACAAATTTTCAAGCCGGCGATGTTATGATTTTTTCTATGAGGTATGGAATTTGGTATGCTATTATCAGGAAAAGGGGCGTATTAGATAATATTTGAAAATTAGTCATGGTCATGGTCATATTACTAACAGTATTAAATAACCCGACAGTCTTATTAATTAAGATACAGATTTAAATTTCATTCTATGTATGGATTAAACGCTTACAAATATGGCAATAGCCCTCCCTTAAATTTTATTATGTATTTAAAGTCTAGGTAATTTTTCATATTATAATTTAGACCAGCGTGTACCCCACGGTAGATGATTGGGCAAAATGGCCAGGGACGACTTCGTGGGTCTTAAGTGTATTTAAAACTTAAATATATATTATTTTATAAACTTAGTTTTGCTGTCTCGGAATTTTGTTTTTATCAGCACAACGTGAAGACTTGCTGGTGGAAGACCGAAGTGTGATAAGGGATCATAATTGAACTTTGGCGTAGTCATTTATATTGAAGTTTCGTTTTGTTTTGTCTTAAATCACTTAATATAGGTAACTCCCAGATTTTCTGTACACAGCTCGCAGAGCTCGGCTAAATAGATAGCACCCCCCCCCCACACACACACACACACACATGAAACAAAGGGGTGTTTATTTAAAACTCTTCCAGAGACAATTAAAACAAATTTGAACGATAAAAATCCGAAACGAAACGAAATGGATTAATAACCTGTTTGCGGCACCAAAATAAACCAGCGTTGGTTTAAATTAGATTGAATGCAAAATATAAAACCGTTTATTTTGTTAATCTTTAGAACTGTTCATATGTCCACGGTGAATTTGACGAATTTTGCTAGAATCAGCTGTGACACAAGGTCAGTGTTTCTTTTTTTTTTTTTACAATGTTCCACCTTTAAGCTGTTGACCACCACATTTCCCTGGTATTTTCAACATGGTCGATACCTAAAGTGAAAATGTTTTTTGAATGAAGACAAAGCAAATGTTTAAATGAATTGTAAAGGGATTTAATGTCGTACTTTTCCGCACCAACCGGGGAAATGAAGATCGACATACGGCATACAGCGTGCTGTCAGGGAAATTGTGCCAAGGCAGTGGCATTTTGCATACTCTTCGTCGAACTCTTTTTTTCGTCCTATCCGAACTTCACGTTTGGGGATTTTAGTGGTGCAAAAGGGGGGCCTGGCATACAGGTGCCAAGTCGTTTGGGCGATACGAAAAATCGAGATCTCGTGTATACATTGACGTGCATTTAAAAGAACCCTTGGCAATTGGAATTCTACGAAAGATCGACAAAAACGCTTAGGTCAAGCCGGGCAAACTTTGTCTCATATAGAACATTGCCCGGCGCAAGCCTATCTTTATTAGGCCGTCTGATGCCAATGCATAATTTTATTTATCCACGGTTTTGAAGCAGTTGCATCATGGCTTGGGGAATTACTTTTATTGATCTTAATCGGTCTTTCTCGTTGTTCTGTAACTAGATGGCAGCCATTAGATGACGTGGCAGATCCTAGATATATTGGTGATTTCCAGACGCCTGGTACTAAATTTGGTTTATACAGCACAGATGAGAGTAAAACAAACAATGGTAATACAATGGAACATTACAGAATTAAATGGGGATTTTAAAGATGAATCATCCATTTCTTCCTGAAAAAATGGCCTAATTATTGAAAATCGAGATATTGACCCACTTTGATTCATGTATTTTGGCCTTGCGTTTGTTACAAGTTCGTGGTGACAGCTTGAGGAACGAGATTTCGTGGGCACACAAAACAAAACCCCAATATTTATCCATAATTATCTGAGCACAAAGATAATTTTGATTTAAAAAGACATTAATGTTTTGTAGGTCTTTGTCGTTCGGTGACGAGATTTGACTACATGGTGACACCATGAATGTTTAGATTACACCATGTGCTCCAATCTATATCGTTGAGATATAAACGTTTCAACCGTCGAACGCGTTAACTGTCCAGATCGATGGACAGTTACGTTTGATTCTTAGCGAAGGACAGACCGATAGACAGTTAAAACGTTTGTATCACAACGATTGACTAACCGATGGACAGTTACAACGTGTATATGTTAGCATGGACTGACCGATTGATAGTTAAAACGTTTATATCTTAGCGATCGACTGACCGATTGATACCTAATCGTTTATATCAGGGCCGGATTAAGACCTATAGAGGCCCAAAGTACATAAAAGATGCTAGTGTGCCCCCATAAATATGTAATTCAAAATATGAACAATATTAAACCACAAACAACCGCCAAGCACGTGATTAGAGTTTTTCTGAGATTTTATACACGTCATTATTAATATTGACAAAACAGGTAACAGTATGAAAAGACAAAAACAACGAAAAACTGATTGAAAGTTCTCAATTAATTTCTAATTTAAATATTTGAAATCTGTCATCTAACAAAGCAGATACTTGCGGTGGCCCCATTACTATGATACCCTAAGCACGTGCTTATTTTGCCGGACCTGTGGCTTGTTTCACGAAATTTTAACCAAGATAAAATCCAAATTTTAGTAATTTGATTGGATAATATTCGATTGATTTTAGTGCTTAGCCAATCAAAATTGAAATATCTACTAAAATTTGGATTTATTTTTAGTTAAAATTTCGTGAAACAGGGCCCTGCACTGGTTTATATTTTAGCGATGGATTGACTAATTGATAGTTAAAACGTTTATGTATCAACGGTCGATTGACTGCCCTATTGCTTCAGCGTGTATATCTCAACGGTCGATTGACTGATTGACAGCTATAACGTTTATTACACAGAGATCGGCTGACCCATTGGTCTCATATTTTGCATACAATATAATCTAAATATTCCGGGTGTAACTGTTAAAGGAGCGAAATCGCTAACATTTGGTACCTAGAAATTCAAAAAAGTGGGTCGCAACGCATATAATACTGTAATATGAATGTATATAAACTGATTTACATTTAATGGTTTCCGTTTTTACTCCAATTTCAAATCAGTTATGTTCGGCGAAATAAGTCAGCAATCTCAATCGAGTGCAAATTTCTAGCGTCTAGTTATTCTAGTCTACATAACTCCATTTGATTTGGTGCAATGTGTCTAGCCTCGTCCCTCGAGTCTCTCAATATAACTGGGGCTGAAGCGCATTATGGTACACGATTCGTGTGCCAATGTTAAAAAAATTATTTTATCTTAAATATCGGATATCAGAAGCTCATCTTTTCCCGGTAGGTTTACATCATCAATGTTGATTTAAATTGACCAATAATTCTTGTTTTCGATGTCGAAGATTTTGGAGGATTTTGAGTTACGGACTTAGGTCCTTTAAGTCAAATCTCATCACAACGAAAACTATTATTTTACTGACAAGTAAAGTCCTCCAAAGCGTTATTGCCTTTTAAATAAAATGTTGACTTTTTGGTCATGTGAATTAAATTAAATGACGGGGATAACATCCGGTGTTCAATTAACCAACATTTTGTTCTATATTTTGTTGAAGAGTTATTTTACTGTATTGCCCATTAGTGACACACTATTTGTTATAGCAATGTATTGTCCATTAGTGACATACTATTTGTTATAGCAATGTATTGTCCATTAGTGACACTATTTATTTGTTATTGTACTGTATTGCCCATTAGTGACACTATTTGTTATTGTACTGTTTTGCCCATTAGTGACAATACCGTACTGTGTTGTCCATTAGTGACACTATTTGTTATTGTACTGTATTGCCCATTAGTGACACACTACTTGTTTCTGTATTTGTTGATGTAAAAATGTATTAGAATATACGTCATGTTGTAAATCAAATTTATCTTGGAATAAAACATTATTTTACAAATTATTTTAATACCTATATGGTTCATTGTACACTTTAGTGAGCACTCTTCTTGTTATGTCCATGTGTTCACTTAATGTCTAAAGCCACATCTGGCTGCATTGCATCACGTCTTAAAATATTAGATTACGTAAAATGCTTAAGGTCGTTTTCGGTGACAAAATTCTATTAATTTTAAAACAGTTCATTTGACACTGAATAACCAGTACCCCGAAATCAGTTAAAACAGCCCTTAAACACTAGTCAAATTCCATTCTGCGAATCAATCCCATAATTGGCAACCAATGGAACATGCTGAATAATATAAATACTGGAGGAATTATAAATAATGTTTGATTTATAATAATTTATTATTTATACTATATATATCTGAGCTTTCTATAGTCTTTATACAATTATAATATACATACATGATCTATATAAAATATACATCTAGAATACATTCATACACAGGTCACAGTTTTATGTAATACAATTACGATTGATTCCAGGTGTCGACCAGGCAATAATACAATTACTGCTTATTATTTAGCTACTATTCTACTATTGAATTCTCTAGCCTTTATCAAGTAATTACTATTTATTACTGAGAGTGACGTTTCAATTAGGATCTTCTAGTATTTATCAAGCTATTACTGTTTATTACTGAGCGATGTTTTGACATGGATTCTCAAGAATTTATGAAGCAATTACTGTTTATTACTAGGAGACGTTTTGACATGGCTTCTCTAGTCATTATCAAGCAATTGCTGTTTTGAGAATTAGAGATACCTAGTTGAAAGGTCACTCAGTAATAAACAACAATTGCTTGATAAGGACTAAAGTTCGAAGCTTAGTCAAACATCGCTCAGTGATAAACAGTAATTGCTTGATGAAGACTAGTGAAGCCTAGTCGAAACGTTCCTCAGTAAGAAACTGTAATTGTAGTCCATAGAATTTTGTCCCCTATATTTCCAGTACTTCAATCAAGTTCAATCACTAAACATCACAGAAACAATTTATAACATAATACACTCAATCATACTATTATCTACACCACATACATTACAAAATAACTTTAAACCTGCTCTTAAACACAAAATCGGATGATATTATTTAAAATTAATTTTCTCTCTTATATATATACATGTAGATCCAGTATCCAATGAAAATGACAACTGGTGTGATTTTTCATTTTGACTAGAGAGAAAAACAAACTAGTAGTGTTCAGTGGATGAAGGGATTACACTAATTAATTGCCTATCTTTTTAAAAGGCATCTTTAATTGCAATCAAATTGTTCATCAGTTTGCATAAGCAGAAACTATACCCCAAATTTCCTCCCCCATCCTCAATTATCAGATGCAGAGTTATTGTGTCCCCAAGGCTTAGGCTAAGCAGAAATTGTTCATTATCGAACTCAGTCAAGGCATTCAACCAATGAACAACTGTGCCAACTTTCAACATTTTTGCTCAATTAGAAGCAGAGCTATTGTGTCCAAAAAGAAAGTGACAGCCATTTTAATGGTCCCCAGCTCTCTTCAAAAAAAATATGACATGATTGGTGATGTGAGTGGGTTGATAGGAATAATTCACACCTTATTATAATATTTGTATATACAATAATTAATTAATTAATATCGAGGGGATGTTACTATATAACTATATACAATTATAATATATTCCATTCAATCATGCTATTACTTTATATACAATACACATCACAACTTTTATACTTAAATATATAATATATTATCCTATTTAATTTTACCAACTTCTATACAACTTCATTACATACATACAAAACAGTTTCTAGATCGGACCATTTATATACTACCATGGAGATTTCTATGGCCTATACATTATAAAGCACAATTACACAGCCATTGTATTCCATGAAATTGTGTTTGTGTATTTTTCCAGTTTGATTATTAAACATTTTTCAGTACTAATTATATTCCATGAACTTGTCCTGTGTATTTCTACTTCTATTACTAAAGCCGTGGACACACTGGATGAATTCTTCGGCATCGAATTGCAGCCGAATGAGTGGACACACTTGTCGAATTCTCTGCCTGATTCAGCAGTAGATTGCATCACCTATCAAGTCACATGATTAAACATGGCAGCGACCATGTCTTCAAACAATCATGTGACTTCTCGACATTAGTGGTGATTCTCTATGAATTCTAAATATTGATAGCGAATACTTCCTCGAACCTCGAACCGGACACACTTGGCCAAATATATCAAACATGTTTGATTTGGCCAAATGGCACTGGACACACTAGGCAAATTTCGGCGCTGAACGATTAGGTTAGTGTGTCCACTGCTTAAATGCCTCTGACATTACCCATATGATTCTCCAAGCTAGGGTAAACTGTCTTCATTTGTACAGGTAATAGCGATTAGGAATGTATTAGTGGACAGAATCTGAAATCCCTACAAAGATTTTGTTAAAAAATTTGTTTCTGGTACTTGATGGCTGGAATTAAACGATATGTATACATACACTCAGGGCAGAGGGGTTGCTAGTTGAAGGATCTGAGCATGGAACCCTCAACTTGAATGCTCCGGTTAACATAAATTTGAAGATACATGATACATGTATAATATAAAAAAACAGAGAGAGGGAGAGAGAGAGAGTTTAAGTCCACTCACCACAAACTAGGTCATTTCAGGACTAACATATGGTTCAATTTAATTTCAATAATTTTCTTGAGTGTAAGTGGGTTTGACAGTGGGAGGAAACCGGAGGACCCGGAGAAAACCTATGAGGTTGGACAGGCAACCCAACTCCTTGTCACGATGTATAATATACACTTTAACATGCATAATATATGTCTCAGAAAAGTTCTAGATTTTGGAATAACATAATATAATTAATTTTTTTTTTTGATTTTTCATTCTGGTCCTACCATTTTCAAATAAGTCTATTTCTTAGTGTGTCAAATAAACAATATATGCACTAACAGTATTATATCAGATAACATGAACATGGCTCAAAACAAAACAATAACAAAAACAGTTTTAAAATATAGATTAGTCAAAGCATAATTATATTTTTTATAAACAAACTCCAAATTAACTTGGTCCCTTATACAACAAGGTATAAAAAATCACCTCGAATATTTTATCTTCACTTAAGGTTAGCTGCATGATCACAATAAGTCAAAGTGGGTGGGCACCCGTTTTAGGCCAATCAAACAAATTGAATAGGCCCCCCTCAGTTTTAGGCCCATCAAACAAATTGAGTAGGAACCCCTCAAAAAAATGTAAAACTTTGGAATTGAGATTTTAATGTTTGTAGCTTTGCTACAGCCATGGAAAATTGCGTGATCAGTTTTATTACATGTAAATTATTCAGATTATCAAATATGATTTATTAAAAGCAGTATGATGTATTGACCTTTGAACTCTATAGAGCTTTTTGTCCACAAGATATGTGGTGATATGTAGAAACTAGCACAAAAATAGCCTTTAAGATGTAATTCGTTTGTGGCTATAGTTTACATATATAGCTCAGTAGAATAGGTCTATACTGTCTATATAGCTCAATAAAATAGGTCTAAAATGTCTATATACCTCAATAGAATAGGTCTATAATGTACATATAGCTATACAGCTCAATAGAATAGATTTATAGCGTTTATATACCTTAATAGAATAGTTCTATAATGTCTATATACCTCAATAGGTCTATACTGTCTATATAGCTCAATAGAATAGGTCTAAAATGTCTATATACCTGAATAGAATAGGTCTATAATGTACATATAGCTATACAGCTCAATAAATAGATTTATAGCGTTTATATACCTCAATAGAATAGTTCTATAATGTCTATATACCTCAATAGATCTATACTGTCTATATAGCTCAATAGAATAGATCTATAACGTACATATATAGCTCAATAGAAAAGATCTATACTGTCTATATAGCTCAATGGAATAGATCTATATCATATAGCTCAATAGAATAGTTCTATAATGTCTATAAAGCTCAACAGAATAGATCTATGACATACATCTATATAAAGTAATGAACTATAATTATATATTGGGATACTATCTTCTAGTTTTATCTATATCTTCTATAATTCCTGATAATTTCTGTCGAGCTTTACGATTCAGATGATCTACTGTATTCACCAGGGCTAACAACTGCTTTGCTGAATATTCCTAAAAACAAGAAAAAACATAAAGACTTATTAGCTACAGTAAACAAGAAAACTTTGTGTGGGGGCGAAACGAATGTGTGACCAACACTTATATGTCACATTAATTGTATAGAACATGTACGAAAAACCAATTGACCCAAGGGCTTTAACTGCTCATTTGTTAAGAATATGTGTGCATAGGTTAAATAAAATGAAATGGAGTTTAGTGTCCTACAGTTCTGCACTGACTGGGCTAATGACCCAAGGACTTTAACTGCTCATTTGTTAAGAATATGTGTGCATTGGTTAAATGAAATGAAATGAAATGGGGTTTAGTGTCCTACTGTTCTGCACTGACTGGGCTAATGAAGACATATGCCATGCAGTGTCTTATGAGAGAAATTTTGCCCAGGCACTACAGTCTACTCTTATTTTGAATTCCAACTGTCAAGGGTTCTTTTACGTGCACGATGATGAAGTTTCTCAGGAATCAAACACGCCACCGCCAGGTTAGCGAGCCAACGTCTTACTCACTGAGCCTTCATTGCTTCCGCGTGCATCGGGAGTAAGGATATAAACCAAGGATCCTGTTTCAAAATATTGCCCTTGTCAGACATTTTTAGTTGGGGTTAATAAAGTCCAGAATGAGGTCACCAGAAGTCATTGTCAGCTTCAGGAAAAGGGACAATAAGCTTCCATTCCTTTTATATACTTCAACCACAAAATATTTTTATGTTATATTATAAACAACTAAAACATTGACATAGTAATGTGATCTTACTGAGAACGAATCCAGACAAACATCCCCCTATCAACAAACAGTTCACAGCTATTCATATGCTTCATCAAGAGGTTTGGGGCAGTAGAGAGAACAGAAGTTTCAGGGCAGTAGAGGGAACAGGGGTTTCTGGGCAGTAGAGGGAACAGGAGTTTCAGGGCAGTAGAGGGAACAGGGGTTTCTGGGCAGTAGAGGGAACAGGGGTTTCTGGGCAGTAGAGGGAACAGGAGTTTCAGGGCAGTAGAGGGAACAGGGGTTTCTGGGCAGTAGAGGGAACAGGAGTTTCAGGGCAGTAGAGGGAACAGGGGTTTCTGGGCAGTAGAGGGAACAGGAGTTTCAGGGCAGTAGAGGGAACATGAGTGTCGGGGCAGTAGAGATAACAGGAGTTTTGGGGCGGTAGAGATAATAGGAGTTTCAAGTCAATACAGATAACAGGAGTTTCGGGGCGGTAGAGAAAACAGGAGTTTCGGGACTTTAGGCCCCAGGGCAGTAGAGGAAACAGGAGTTTAGGGGCAGCACAGGGAACAGGGATTTTGGGTGGTTAAGGAAATCATACAGCTTTAACTTCTATTTGTTTCTTCGTTGATTAATTAATGGTCAAACGTGATAATAACTGACCAACCTACCTTATGATCTTGTATCCAGGACTCCAGCTGACTTTCAGGTAAATAATAAGCTTTAATATACGTCTCCACAAATTCTCTCTCTGGTATAGGTCTACAAATAACAAAGATATAAAATTACTTTAAAACAAGTTTGACATGCTCTTGAACAACCCTGTGGTGATGAACAGTTGATTCTACTGACAAATGGCTGATTCAGTCATGAATGGTTGGTTCTAATCCCAATTTGGGTTGGACTAGCTCTAGAACAACTCTGTGGTGATGAACAGTTGATTCTAGTGACAAATGGCTGATTCAGTCATGAATGTTTGGTTCTAATGACAAATGGCTAATCTGGGTCATAAACAGTTGATTCTAGTTGATTTGGGCCATTAATGGTTGATTCTAGTTGATATGGGTCATGGATGCTTGATTCAGGTCTTGAACGGTAGTTTTCCAGTGACAAACAAACTATCCACAAGAAGAAAAGAAGGCGCATGGTGAACTGAATTAGACCCTTGTGAGTGTGGATTAGAATTCGACCCTGCATCGTGCAATCACCACAAAGTAATCACTCAATTAATAAGTAATGTTGACTTAAGATCATAAATCAGAGTATTGGAAAAATAAAACAACCATTTCTGGTCACACCCAAGGAATATAATTATATGACTGATCTAGGAGACTTGTAAACGAACACACCCATGAGATATTTTTGGCCTTGTACCTATTCATTGACTAATGAAATAGGGTTTAACATCCTGCATTTCTGCCACAATCAGGCTAACAAAGACGGAAACTTGATTAGTACTAAAAAAATCAGAAGTCAACTCACTTGATATCAATAATTTGATCCACTTTTATAAGAAATTGTTGAAAATCCAACTGCATTAAAGCTCTGCCTTCATTACTACATTTCTTAGCATTAGAATATCTAAAAAACAAAAACAAAAAAACAATATTACCATATCTAAAATCATTTCAGAATATTCAAAATATCTAAAATATAACATTAAATATCTAAAAAAAATAACATCAGAATATCTAAAAAACCTACCATTTGAATATCTAAAAAAAAAACCAACATTAGAATATTTTAAAATTTAGTTTAACATCCACTGGTAGGTTATTTTGTGATGAACATATCAGTATTCTATACTTCAATTATGTAATTGTACATATAGGTGTCGAAAGAAACTTGAAAATCTAAATAAACCCAATCTGTAGTGGCGTAGACATAGTATTTTATAAATGTCTATATTATAACGATTACTTACCCTTCTACAAAGACTCTGTTAGCTAATCGTATACAATGTTCCCATAAAACATCTTTTACAACTTTAGGTACTGGCACTCTTCCTTCAATCTCCAATAATTTATTATTAAAGTTTATAAAGTTCTATAAATTATACAAAATATAAATATTACTTAGGGTATCACATAAATATAAGTCAATTGATAACATAAGTAAAATTCCTGTTAACAATGTTAGGCAAAACACATATATTTTTAAGTAATGTCTCTCTATGACATCTTAAGTAATGTATCTTTGAGACATCTGACCTAAAGTAGTGTGTCTTTGAGACAGACCTAACGTAATGTGTCTTTAAGACATTGGACCTTAAGTAAGATGTCTGAGCTTACGTAATGTGCCTGTAAGTCATGATTCTCTATGACATCTGACCTTAAGTAATGTATCTTTTTGACATCTGACCTAAAGTAATGTGTCTTTCAGACATCCAAGCTCAAGTAATGTGCCTGTAAGATGTCTGACCTGTCTGTATCTGTTAGTTGTCTGACAGTAAGTGCAACATCCTACCATTAACTAAGTAATTTATTAATGTGAGTAATGTAACAATGAGACATCCTATTGAAAGTAATGCATCAATGTCAACCCGACTATAAAGCAGTGATCAGTGACTCGGCCTACCATATGCAATGTATCTAATCAAGTAATGACATCCTGTCTTAAGTAATGGTTCAATGTGAAATTCTAAAGTTAAGTAATGTATCAGTGGCACACACTACCATAAGTAATGTGTCATTAGCACACTCTACAATAAATAATGTATCAATGTGACATCCTACCTAATATAATGTGTTTATGTGTTATAATTAATCATGTTAAGTAATGTATCAGTGTGACACCTCACTCTGAGTAATGTATCAATGTATGTATGTCACATTAACACCAATAAGGAATGTATCTATATGTGACATCCCATTTTAAGTAATGTATCTATATGTGATATCCCATTTTAAGAAATGTATCTAAATGTGGCATCCAATTTTAAGTACTGTATCTACATGTGACATCCTATTTTATGTACTGTATCTATGTGTGATATCCCATTTTAATTAATGTATCTATGTGGCACCATACCTTAAGTAATGTATCTATGTGGATCCTATTTTAAGTAATGTATCAATGTGGCATCCTACTTTAAGTAATATATCTATATGTAACATCACATTTTAAGTAATGTATCTATATGTGACATCCTTTTTAAGTAATGTATCTATATGTGATATCCTACCTTAGGTAATGTAATTATATGTGATATCCTACCTTAAGTAATGTATCTACATATGAATTATGTTGTGACATGATATCTTTTATATCCCACTTAACAGTGTTCATCTGTTGTAGAATAGAGTCGTAATCTACAGATCGTAGAGAAACATGTTTATATACAGGGCGACGTAATTCTACAGCTATCTTCACAGTCTGAAAGGAAAAACAAAGATTTCAACGATTTAACCCAATAAAGACAATACTTTCAATTAAAGGTGCTGATCGTCATTTGGCCTCTTTTTAATTCGTTGTTATTTTGGTTTTGCTTTCTTAGTAAAATAGTCAATATGAGTAGCTTATGCTTTAGCATGGAATAAGCTGTGAAAAATAAGAAATTGTCCCCAAATATGCAAATGATCATTAGAGATTTTTCAAAAAAAAACAAACCATAGCAAACATTTGAACGGTTTCAATTCAACATACTCTCAATTCACAATACATGCACTCAAATCAGATTTGTAGCACAATAAAATTTTCGTCCAGGTAACCATCTGATATCAAAACAATAAAGACATAAAAACCCATGAAATTACCTGTGTGTAAAATTGTTGTAAAAAAGCTTTTTTATTTACTGGTATCATACTCTCTAAGAATGGCTGTAAAAATTCTAGTTGTTCAGATAAAAATACCCTGTTAATAAAAAAGTTTAATTATCTTTAAAAATCAGATTTTTTAAACTGAATTCCTTAAAATATTTGAAAAAACAATGTTTTGAGAATTACAATTGGTAGATTTTTATCACTGTGAAACTGATGCTGGTCGTTTACAAATTTAAAATTTTCCAATTAAATCATATAAGTGATCATTACTCTCACCAAATGTTAGAAATTATAGGGTAGTCATCATCAATCTCAATTAATGTTTACTAATAGGAGAGTATATCATTCAATAGCCACGATCTTAAAACCTAAGTGAAATAACAACTATTTAATGACTACTGTTCAATTAGTGAACATATTTGCATTAGTAAAAATCAACTGCCCCAAAGTGAACGATATCAACTTTACAGTGTAATACACCCATGTATGTGGTTGGTAAACAGGGATGCTATTTTACCTGTATATTAAAGACATGTCCTACGCTATTTTCCAAACATCTGACCAAGAATATGCCCAATCGGACATCAAGATATGGTAAATAATATTCAATATTTCAAAATTAATTGACTGTACTGAGTACAAAACTACTACTCATCCCAATTATCGTTGATAATTGGCTGGATCAATTAGGTAATTAAGTGATCAACGTATATTGTCATCGACTAGTCAAACGAAACATGCTTGTACTCACTTTAAAGCGCTGAGTTTATAACCGAACAGATCTTATCGTGTGTGTAGGTAATGAGAATTATCAAGAGAAAATTTTAATTGGTTTCAAACAAAAGGATCTTGTATTAATGTTCTATGAAAAAGACTTACAGAGATTCCACAGCTACGATCCTCTCAGGTAAACCATATAATCCCTTTACATCGTCTAAATTTACACAAGGGGAGATAACTGCTGGACAAATTTTATCCTGAAACAAAACAAATATACATTTTGCCATTCAATGCCTGATCTTAGAAACAGTTCTTAATTCAGAAAATAGACAAGTAGGATGGAATGGAATATGAAATGAAATGGGGTTTAACGTCCTACTGTTTATCTCAGAACTGGGCTAATGAAGACGGGAATGAAATGTGAGTGAGGTGAAAGTGACCCTTAAGTGTCAAGGCAGTGCAGTGAGTCGGGGCAGTTCCAACTTCCACTGCTGCTGTCCCTCTTCTTTAAACCATGTGAACTGTTCTTCATGTACATTTTATTACTCAATTAACCACAAAAGTTGTGACTTAGTCACAATACGTACTCTCAGATCTTCCGTTTCACCAGGTATTGCTCCAGGGTTTGGTGGTGGTGCTATCATGTTGTCATAGATGCGATATAATGTGATACGAAGACGATTATTCAAAGATTTGTCGATGTTTGCACCCTGTAAAAATAAAGTTTTAGAAACAATTACAATCTGGATGTCCCAATCAAGATTGACAGCTAACGAATAAACTAAAAATCAGTTGTTTCTTTCCAAATGTCAGGCACTAATGGACAAGTACCCGATAATCTGATTAAAATACAGATCTCTATTTCGTTTCGTATTTTTATACTATCGATGGCCTAGACTACATGAAGATCTGACCGGTTGTAGTGGAAGGTCACATAAGGGGTCATACCCAGCGGCTTTTGACCCTATGACATCAGACATTTGATTAACCAATCACCGTTGCTGTTCCTAGTGGAATACCCACAGTTCCATGCACAGCACACCAAGAACTTGCCGTAACAGACCGTTTTATTTGCTAATCCCTCACATCAACCAGAACACGGGTTATATAACAACCTCCAGATCCTAGTGTAGTAATGACAAGTAAAACGAAATTTTGAACTATAAAAACAAAACGAAATAGGATCTGTGTTTTAATCAGATTGAGTACCTGTCATACTGGGGTTTAACATCAACTCGACACATACTAGGTCATTTTGATACTAACATTTTATTTCATTAATTTGATCTTGCACATCCGGGTCTTGAACTGTGAGAGGAAACCGGAGGTCCCGGAAAAATCCAACAAGGTTGAAAAGGCGACCCTAATCCTTGTCATGTACAAGCAGGGAATCGAAACACAGCACTTGACTCTATCTAGCAGGCACATCATTTGAATTTTGAGCTGGACATGTATTATAAATATCAACAAAAAACCCTGCAACTTAACAAATCTGTGGCAGACAAAATAACAGCCACTAGAGGAACTGTGCCAGACAATGTCTGAAGTTGTATCTGCCAATGTCTGTGACAAGCGCTCTATTTAATTCCAGGTTTACTTATAATGGTCAAAACTTCTGTCTACAATATATTATTAATTACCATAACTTTCAATGTATCATCCGTGCCTCTATGATAAACAGTACAGGTACTTACCTCACCGCCAAAGAAGGAGAAAATAGTGAAAAGGTAAAAATCAAACAGTTGAGCAAGACAAGTTATGACATCAAATGATATTGGTCGTAGTACGGTCATCATCTTTAAATATTTACCTGCAATAAACAAAAATCAGATTAACAACAGGTAAATTCTGTTTAAATTAGGACATACAAAAAATATATTCTGTTTCTCAGACAATCCTTACCAAAAAAATGTATCTGATGCAGGAAGGAAGTTTTTATATTTTGTCAAAGGATCAAGTCACTACTGGGCTAAATGAATTCTCACATCACATTTCATGACACTACATTTATCTCATCACATGTTTTATAGGAATGTATGAATATCTAGTGCCAGTCATGAATGTCAGGGTTGCGTACGCTTCAAATTTTTGCTTCCTGTAACTTGAGGAAAATTATCTACATGAGATAATCAATGAGATTGTTTTTATTTTTTATGTTTTGAAATAAAAACAGGTTATGCGACCCTTTTTAAGCGACAGGGAGTAATAATAATAATAGTGAGTTCTTATATAGCGTTCAGATCCATTAAAGTTAATGCTCAAGACGCATTTAGCTCTCAGCTTACCACAAGATAAAAACACAGCTAATGTTAACAACTAATAAGCAGTCGAAAAAAAAGATGAGTCTTTAATTGCTTCTTAAAACAGCTAAGCGATTGTGAAATCTTTAAAGTTACAATTTCATATTTTCCAAGAAAGTCAAAACATAATTATTTCTATGTCTTTTACTCAATAGATTGTCAACTCTCTATTATACGATCATAGGTTATCTTTCTTACACTTAAAAATCTTTACACCGGAAATAATAACACAGTTACCTCCCTTGTTTTCCTATTCTCCACCATGGAATAGCTATCTTCAAACGTTTGAATTTGAAGTTGAAAATGATATTTTTGCCAATTTCTCAACTGGCAATAGTGAATTATAGGATTAATAGGATTATTCTTTAACAAGGTAGGACTGTTTATAGATACCATCTATTTTAGGGCTTTATTTTAATACATTTTAAAAATATAGTTTAAAAATATGAAATTGTAACTTTAAGGTCAAGTGTAATGAATTCCATAGGTTTGGTACAGTGTATGAGAAGCGTCTATGAACGAATGTCTTAAGCCTATAGTTGGGTACTACCAGAGGTAGTTCATGTTGGGACCTAAAGATCTGAGGAGTAAAATATATTTTTGTATGGCTTTATATTACTTATCAGATGAAATATGTCGTTTTTATCTGGGATCCAATACAGTTTAAGTTTTATATTAAAATTAAACAATTTACCCATAACCCGTAAAACATTAAGTGTTGTGTTGGTAACAATAGGAGCTTGTTTCTGACCCCGACTTCGATTCCTGGAAATACGTCTTTTGATTTGTCTGGAAATGAATAACAAAATATTAGATCGAGAATTAAGAGAAAAAAAAAGAGATTTAAATTGATAAAAGTGTCTGGCAGAATTAGCACCAAACTCTACCAAAGATTACTGTTAATTAATTAGTGAGTGCAAAACATAAATTCATTCGGTGCATGAAATTAAACTTTGAAATCATATGAAATATAAAATAAAATGTGGTTTAACGTCCTACTATTCTGCACCACCATGCAATCTGATTAAAACACAGATCTTTTTTCGTTTCTTATAGTTCAAAAAAACCCGCGTTCTGGATGATGTGAGGGATTAGCCAATGAAACGATCTGTTACGTGAGTTTTTGGCGTGAGGTGCACAAAACTGTGGGTAACCCACTACAACCATCAACGCTGATTGATTAAACAAATGTCTGACGTCATAGGGTCAATAGCCACCCGTATGACATCTGACGCAACCTACCACTACAACCGGTCAGATCTTCATGTAGTGGAGGTCATCAAAAGTATAAAAAAAATGAAACGAAACATAGATCTGTATTTTAATCAGATTGAACACCATGGAGTGTGCTTAGGGAAATGTAGTCAGGATATCAGCAAATCACACTGTCAAGGGTTGTTTCACATGCACAACGCACCCCCACCCCCCTCTCCAACCTTTATAGAAGATATTACCTATGAGTATGAGTATCGGCTAGCTCGTCAATATATTCTTGTTTTAATTCATCTGGAACATCACTGTCACTGTCACTATCATCATAACCATCTTCTTTCTCCTATAAACACAAAAAAACAACACATTCAAAGCAAGATCATCAAACTCCATATCATCAAAACTTTATCATCAGACCCCATAATCATCAAAACTTCAAAACTTTATCATCAGACCCATCCTAGTCATCAAACCCCTATCATCAAAACCTTATCATCAAATCTACTGTCATTAAACAACTACCATCAAACCCGCTATCATCAAACCCCCTATCATTAAACCCCTTTTCATCAAAAATCATCATATTGACCTTCTGAACCAAACTTAGTTTGTGTTCTGAAAGCTAAATTATGATCATTTGAACAATGACCATTTCAGTATTTTTTAGCAACATTCTGTGGAATAATCTCCCATCAGGCACTTTTATGATCTCTTACTTGTATGCCAGGGCGTATATGCATTGACCCCAATTTTTTATTACATCCGAATGACTAGACAGTTTTCCTTGGCAAGCCCAGCATCCCACTCCACTGACTTTTTAATGTGATATGCTGATATATATTTACCCCAGTCCCAGCAAACACATCTTATATTTACCCTAGTCCCAGCAAACACATCGTATATTTACCCCAGTCCCAGCAAACACATCTTATATTTACCCCAGTCCCAGCAAACACATCTTACATTTACCCCAGTCCCAGCAATATTTACCCCAGTCCCAGCAAACACATCTTATATTTACCCCAGTCCCGGCAAACACATCTTATATTTACCCCAGTCCCAGCAAACACGTCTTATATTTACCCCAGTCCCAGCAAACACATCTTCTTTCTCCTCCTCATCAGGTTGAATATCAAATGGATTTCCTTCATCTAAATACTCCATGAAATATCCTCCATTTTTATTCTCTGTTGACTCCTGGTTACCTTGGTTACCCTGAGATTTGACTTCTGTTGCTTTACCTGACTGCCAGTTCTTCATAAAACGGAATTCCTGAAATAAATAACGAACATTTAATGACCACTCAAACGATCTTTTGCCACACTGATAAGCAGTGAATATTCGGTAGGCCACTACAATCACTGATAAGGATGACATTGATGCGACTTAATGAGACACAAATATTGACTTTTTTCCTCTGACAAATTAAATTCTAAAACATTTTTTTTATGTATTAAAAAAATAAATCACTGATAAGGATGACATCTATGCGACTTAATGAGCCCCAAATATTAACTTTTTTCCTCCGACAAATTGAATTCTAAAACATTTTTTTTTATGTATTAGAAAAATAAATAAAGATCTTTGAAGTATTTGTAGGTAAAAATTATTTCCTATTTAGAGTAAGTGGGTATTAAAATGAGTAAAAGGCACCATTCTGCCCGAACCAGTAATGTCTTATGTATGTAAACAATGCACGCGCTAATGAGCCAATGACTGACACTGACGCCGCATGATGTGATGTCACGTGTCGAAGACAGTCATCTTTTACAGAAATATTAGAAAACTATCGTAATCAGATTAATCTTTTGCATGAACAATGAACTGCAGTTAGTATCTCGTCCTGGAGGAAATGTCTTGGACACGATAATCCAGTCTGACATTATCTCTGATATGAACTGGACCCATTCTCAGGACATTGGTTATTGAATGTGATTACGGGTAACAAGCTAACTTAATTGGGATAAAATTATGTTTTATGAAAAAAGCACTACATGCAACCTTTTCCGTAATTCTAAAAATTCTAAATATCTGTCAGATGTTTGACAATAGGTGTTAAACATAATTTTTGTCTTATAATTATTTATTACTGAAAAAATTATTTATATATGTTATTGTTACAGCTACACTAAGTCTAAGAAGATCATTAATAAGCAGTAAGTTTAACTGACTCCGACCTGATATTTGATCTGGCCAATGAAGAGATGTTTTGTATCGGGCAAAACTGGTTTAAACCAATCACAGTGTAGCTGAAGTTACACTTCAAAGGGTACAGAGAGTAAAAGTGGATGTGCAGTAGTTAGATTTTTATGTTGCCATAAAAAATTAAAACTGGAACAAAATATAGATCTAATTTTAAAAAGATTGTCTCTTCATTGGCTGAGAGCAAACATTTAGCCAATAAAAAGGGTACATTCTTAAAATATTTATGAAAAAAAAAAGTCCACCCCCTCACCATTAGTTGTAGAATGTTAAAGCTTGATTTAACCGGGCATAATTCCCATCCTTCATTTTCCACAAAAACCCGTAACTCATCTAATCGGGCTCTGAAAATATAATCAAAAACACATAATCAAATATAATCAATAACACATAACTTGTCTAATCAAGCTCTGAAAATATAATCAAAACTATATATATGTTGTATAATTGGGCTCTGAAAATATAATAGGACTGATCTAAGCAGTATACAGGGTCTTTTTAGTTTAGAGATATATATGAACGAAATGGATTGTTGTGCCTTTAATGAAATTTAAATTTAATACACTTATAAACTAGTTGATATACCTGTGGTGATTTTTAAAATAATTCAAACTTTGTTGTTTTAGTGAATCTTGTAAACCTTCAGATTTGCTGCCACAAAATTGTTCCCCAATTTCTATCATTCTGAAAAAAAACCCCATAAAAACATAAAGCATACCATAAACTGATTTTAGGGACATTTATAGCACTTGCCAAAATATTGACAGAGTTATAAGGCAATCTGGAAAAAACAATCTGGAGAACAAATCTAATACACGAATATATCTATCTAACTTAAATTGTCTCACCTGCCCAAAATATCTAATTTAATTTGACTCACCTTCCAAGTATATCTAATTTAAATTTAAATTGACACACCTACACACTATATCTAATTCAAATTTAATTTGACTCACCTACACACTATATCTAATTTAATTTGTCTCACCTGCCCACTATGTCTAATTTAAATCATTTCGCCTCTGCATCATATCTATTTCAAATTGTCTCCCTTACACATTATATCTAATTTAAATCATCTCACCTGCCAACTATATCTAATACACGTATAAATTCATCTAATTTAAATTCTGATAAATCTGTGCCGAGTATATAAGTTTTAACTTTCTGTTGGACATCCTGCCAGATACGCCCTCGACCATATTCTAATTTTTGCATCACGTAACGGCGATTAAACGTTATTTCTACGTCACTTTCATCACTTCCTCCTGGAATAAAAAAATACAAAAAGGGTTATATAAGTAGATTTACACAGTAAAGTGTTTAACAGACTTTGTTTTTACCCAAAATATTTATACCATTTAGTGAAATGAAATGAAAAAGAGTTTAAAGTCCCACTCTTCTGGTCTAGTCGTTTGGATGGGACGAAATACCGAGGATCTGTGTATACATTGGTCTAGTCGTTTGGATGGGTCGAAATACCGAGGGTCTGTGTATACATTGGCATGCACGTAAAAGATCCCTTAGCAGTTGGAATTCGATATAAGAGTAGGCCTTAGTGCCACTGCACGGGCAAAATTTTCCTCATAGCACACTATATGGAGTATGCCCATTTTCATTAGCCCAGTCGGAGCAGAACAGTAGGACGTTAAACCCCATTTCACTTCATTTATTTCCTACTTTTCTGCATCAATCAGATTAGTAAGACAGAAATACGCCATATTATGTGCTTTGATTAAAATTTCACCATTACAGTGGCTCAATGGCCAGACAAGGGATCTTTCATATGGACTACAAATTTATACAATTGGCATTGTTTTTCAATGCAAAGGATGTAAGCAAGTGCAGTACCCGCTGAGCCACCATGGCCCCACACACCATAAGACCACCCTTACCCACCTGGTTTTCCTGGGTCGACATCTTCGTCATTTGTTTCGTGCCACTGTATAGTTTTATAATAACTTCTCATCACTTCCCATAATGCTTTGCATAAATCTATTAAACATGGAATAAAACTATCCATAGTTAAATTCTGAAAGAAAAAAAAAATCGTAAGTACAGTTGACGGTGAGATTTGTATATTCCCCATTTTAAAGGGAGGTAACTATATTAAAAAATTCTGGTTTAAAGTGTCCAGTAGACTTACTTATCTAGTGATTAACTTTGATGAGTGTTATCGACAATTATAAATTGTAAATTAAGTGACCATTGATTACTCAGCCTAATTTTTAAAGTTTTTTTTATGTTTATTCTTTTGTGGTTGATAATCATCCTGAAAACTACATCTAGCATTAAATAAATGAGAAAGAATTGACTGACATTATACACCATGGAAATGACTGAAATTATACTCCATGGAATTGACTGAAATTATACTCCATGGAAATGATTGTGAAATTATACTCCATGGAAATGACTGAAATTATACTCCATGGACACGACTGAAATTACACTCCATAGAAATGACTGAAATTATACTCCATGGAAATGGGATATGGAAAAAGCAGTATTTATTAGAACTACGTAAGAATCTATGCTTTTGTCAGTAACAGTTTAGCTTTGTAACCAGAGAATCAGTATTTATGATGTTTGTGACAAATGATTTAGACACAAAAACCCTCCATGAAATAAAAACACAAAAATTAGATTTCCAGCATTACAATTTTATGAAGGGTTTTCTGAAAACCAGATCATTTTCTTGACATGGGCTTATATAACCTGCTATTTTAAGCTCTTACCTTACATAAATCTAAATATTGACGTTTCTGAAAGTTGGTCTGTGTATCACCTGAGCATAGTTCTACGTAACCAAGGACGATGATAAAAGCAGTATTGTGGATGGCGCTGGCAAAGTGCATGTGTAGTTGATCCATGGCCGTCTGTATTACAGAACAAAGAGATTCAGTAAATCATTTCATCAACATAAAAAATGGCTTTAGCAACCTAAAATATGGCATCATCAAAATAAAATATGGCTTCACTAAATTAAAATCTTTCCTCAGATGTTTCTCTTTACCCCTGGGGGGAAGCAGACGTTAAGCCCTACAAAATTGAACAAACTAGATGTTTTTCTATTTAAAGACAAATTGATATCTGATACTTTGAAATAAACATATATCTTCAAATACAGATAATTCTGTCAAAGCAGCGCCAAAATAAATAAGCTACAATTTGATTTTTTTTTACTTCTAAAATTTCATGTGGCTTTGTACTTCTTTACTGTAGTTTTTAAAATGGCTTGTGCCACAAGCTTCTGGTCTAACTTTTAAACTTTTAAACAAGAGGCCTCCAAGATTTATATAGTCTAGAGCAGTGATTCTCAGGCAGTGTGCTGCGGCACACATGTGTGCCAGGAGATCTTCCTAAATGTGCCGCGTAATTTTGAACGGCACACTAAGAAAATGCAAAAAAACATGTGATCCAAATTGAGTATTCATTGGTGTTTATAGCTATGTTTTTCTATATTTAGTTTGAGTCTTTCTATGTGTCTATGACTAGTCTCTGTCTACGGTTGTATGCCGCCAAATATTTTTCATATAAATTTAGCCATTTTTTCACAAGTCCCAATGTGTGCCGTTGGCTAAAAAAGAGTGAGAACCAACTGGCCTACAGCCTCACCGAGTCCAAATTCAACATTTTACACAGGCAAATGTAATCA